TTTGTCCTAGTTTATACGAGAGCTATATATGTATAGAATAACGTGTTAAAATTTGGAACCGATTGGATTAATAGGTTTTGAGTAACCTCATGCGCCAGTCGTAAAAACACTGTTTCGAGAAAAACGCGTTTAAAGTTATGAGACGGTTCTCGCCGTCTATATATATCTATATCGCCGAGTTTTTTGAGTTTTTTTATCAAGAAATTTTTAAATTTTCAATTGAAATTTTAAAGGAGCATTCTTGAATAGTCATAGGTTCGAATTAAATTTAAAAAAAAAATCGATTTTTTGAAACGGAGAATGGGGCGGTGTCCCCTTAAAAGCAAAAGGAATTTTTAAATTTATTTCTAAAATTTTTTTTATTTAATTATCATTGACTTTGAAGATTATTTTTCTTTGTTTTTAAAGTCATTTATTAAGTAGTCATTAGTCAGTTAAGTATTTAGTTTATTAGTTAGTTAGTTAGTTATATAACTAGTAAGTTAATTAAGTAGTCAGGCTAGGCTTGGCATTTATTTTTATTTAATTTAAAGATATGTATTAAAATTAATAAATACATTTTGTTTATATTTAATTAATTATTTATTGTTTTAATTATTTAATTCTACTAATTATAGTTGAAAATGTTATATTTCAATTAAGAATTAATATAAATAATTAATAAATATAATTAAATTCAAATACAGAAAAAACAAATTAATTAAAATAATAATTTAAGAAAAAAAAATGTTTCCTCTAATGCGTCGCCTTATATAGGCTCAACCAGAATCGGTTGCGAATTATAGCAAAATCGGACCTCTTTTTATTTTTATAATTTTTTTGCCTTTTTTAAGCAGAACTGCTTATTAATTAAAAAACTAAATCCAATTGGATAAAATACCAAGATCTAGGAATGGAGAAGTAAACTCACCTCGTCTGCCTGTGACTCCTGTTCCTGCAGTTGCCAAGTTTCCAGCTCCAGCTCCTCCACCTCCGCCGGCAGCATCAAACAGCTGGGTGCTGGAACGCGGCGGTCCATTGCCCGCCTGGCCAGGCTCCACAGCGGCATCCGGCGACCAGGTGGTCAGCGTTATGAATCCACACTCGCCGCGCGGGGAGGTCAGCGGCAGGTGTAGCCACGACGTGTCCTGGATGGCGCCGAGCGACACCTCGGCATAGCCCAGCGGCAGAGACGTCTGCGTCATCCGTTCGCGGACGTCCATCACACTGAAACGCAGCCGGGTGCTGGAGGAGAAGCCTCCGCTGCGCTGGAAACGCATGGTGCAGAGGAATTGCGGTGTCCGCGTCCGCTCCTGGAGCTCGGTACGGGCATGCTCCCGCCAGAGACCCGCATCCTCGCCGCTGCCCGGTGGCAGGAAGGAACAGATCACCTGCGGGCTGGGCGACCGGCCGAGGGCGTCCGTCGGCAGGCTGTCGCAGGAGAGCGCTGTCTCGCAAATGGGCAGCTCCGAGAGATCGATATCTGGAATAGGTGATGATCATGTTACAAACAATAAGGAACTAATGGGGAAACAGCAACGGAAACAGAAACAGAAACAGAAACAAACGAGTTTATAAGCATAACAAATTTTATTCCAAGAATAGCTATTCCGGTTAGTCCGATTCTCGTATCGGTTTACAACATATATATCTAGTTATGTGGGAATGATAGGCAATGGCAGTTTAATGAGACTGTGCAGATGGTAATTTTTGGAATCAAAACAAGGAATAACAATAAATTCGTTAGTTAAGGGGCAGCCGAAACCGAATGAGATGCTTGGAACTGAGCGAGAGGTTAGAGGGTGTAAGTGGGTGAGGTGGATTCTGGTTATCTAATTAGACAATTCAGTACGCCAACTATCCCGGTTAGAACTGTATAAGATCACCTTCAAAGGGCGCCTCCTCCACCGGCTCCTGGCGCTGCACCGGTTGCTGCACTGGCGCCGGCTCAATGGGCAACATCATGGGCATGCCCAGGTCGATGTGGTTGCCCATGGTGTTCGCAGTGCCACCGGGCACTTGGGACCTTCGTAGTTGTTCCTTCAAATGGCTGATAAGCAAGTCCAGATTATAGCTGGAGGCCTGTTCGATGCACTGCGCCCAGGCCAATCGTTCCGCGGCCGAATAGCTGATGAACTGCTCTGAGGGGCTATCCTTAAAATCTGAAAGAATCCCCAAAGATCTGCCATGAAAACTATCAAAGCTCGGAGGAGGACAAGCACTCACCTATGTCAAAGACGTAGCCCTCGGGATCGGCCTCCCTATTTTGGATGCGGACGTGACAGTTCTCCAGTACCAGGACGCCGGCCACTGGGGATTTGGGGTCCTTGTCCTTGAGGTAGAACAGTAAATTGCCACGCAGTTTACACCACCGTTCAACTCTGACTGTGGGTAGAATGGAGTGCATAAGCCAAGGATCTGTGAGCGGTGATTGTGTGGGTGTTTATGAGGTGTCTGGATGCTGGGAAGCAATATGAGCATGTCAAGTGCGGGGGACAAGGTGCAAAAATCCTAATGAATCCGACAGTCTTTCCACAAGAGCTTTTAAGTCGACATATTAACAAAGACTATGTAAGTCTTCAATCATCTTGTTTTGTTTCTACTGTCCCCATTTATGACTAAACGGGGGCTCGGGTGAGTGTGCTTCAAGGGGTGAGATAACGGTTCATGTGTTTGTAAGTTGGATGTGGAGCTTACCTTCGCTGCGCCACAGGAATCCCTCCTGACGGTCGATGACGATGAGCAGGCCCTCCTTGTCGAACCTTGTCGCTGGATTGCTGGCCAGAGAGTTCAGCTCGGACTTGTTAAAGCGCATGGCGATGGTGGCGGCGTTGATGGCCTGGCCGGAGAACAAACTCATTCGATTAGCAAGTGTGTGGGTCATAAAGATGCGCCATAGATGGACTGGCACGCCTCAAGCCCATCCGGAATAAATAATTCACGGCAATTACACGCCACGCGAGCGATGTGTACGTGCCATTGAGTATTTTTTTATTCTTTTTTTTTTACTTTCTGGCATTTAATCCACTTATTGGCGGATAAAGATTGTCTCTCAACTGTCTTATCTTTGGTTTAGTCAATCCATGAAGATTTCATATTATTATACCCTTGCAGAGGGTATTATAATTTTGTCCAAAAGTGTGCAACGCAGTGAAGGAGACATCTCCGACCCTATAAAGTATATATATTCTTGATCAGGATCACCTCCTGAGTTGATATGAGCATGTCCGTCTGTCCGTCTGTCCGTCTGTCCGTCTGTCCGTCTGTCTGTCCGTCTGTCTGTCTGTCCGTTTCTACGCGAACTAGTCTCTCAGTTTTGAAGCTATCGTCTTGAAACTTTGCACACACCCTTCTTTCCTTTGCACGCAGTATATAAGTCGGAACGGCCCGGATCGGCCGACTATATCCTATAGCTGCCATATAACTGATTGATCGGAAATGGTATAACTTTGGTGTTTTTAGAGTTAGAGAATTCAAATTTGACAAGAGAGCTATTTTTGGCAAACCATTACGACATGCCAAATTTCATAAGGATCGGCCGACTATATCTTATAGCTGCCATATAACTGAACGATCGGAAATGACCCAACTTTCGTGTTTTTATACCCTTGCAGAGGGTATTATAATTTTGGTCAAAAGTGTGCAACGCAGTGAAGGAGACATCTCCGACCCTATAAAGTATATATATTCTTGATCAGGATCACCTCCTGAGTTGATATGAGCATGTCCGTCTGTCCGTCTGTCCGTCTGTCCGTCTGTCTGTCCGTCTGTCTGTTTCTACGCGAACTAGTCTCTCAGTTTTAAAGCTATCGTCTTGAAACTTTGCACACACCCTTCTTTCCTTTGCACGCAGTATATAAGTCGGAACGGCCCGGATCGGCCGACTATATCCTATAGCTGCCATATAACTGATTGATCGGAAATGGTATAACTTTGGTGTTTTTAGAGTTAGAGAGTTCAAATTTGACATGTGAGCTATATTTGGCAAAACATTACGTCATGCCAAATTTCATAAGGATCGGCCGACTATATCCTATAGCTGCCATATAACTGAACGATCGGAAATGACCCAACTTTCGTGTTTTTGAAGATAGAAAGCTGGAACTTAGTACAGATTTAATTCTTGGTCAGTTGATCCAACCTACCAAATTTCATTAGGATCGGCCGACTATATCCCATAGCTGCCATATAACTGAACGATCGGAAATGGTATTTGGTAGAAATATCAACTCTCGTATTTTTGAAGATAGAAGTTTGGGACTTTTTTAGATTTTGTATTGTAATAAATTGGATTATATATTCCTATTCCCATAAGGATCGGCCAACTATATCCGATGTTTGCGATATATATCCGGTTTTAACTGCAAGGGTATATAAACTACGGCTCCGCCCGAAGTTAGCTTTCCTTTCTTGTTTTTATGAAAACTTTTGGTTTTCTTGGGTAGCGGGTGGGCGTGGATGGATTACCCGAGGGTACACATACATACCTCTTGCTCCTGCGCCTCCTTTTGCTCCTGCGCCTACTCCTGCCTCCAGCCACCTCCTCTTACTGCTCCTTCGACCTCGTTACTCTTCCTCTTTCCCTCTCTGGTTTCTGCTATGTTGTTATTTTTCCTGCAGATTGCTCAGCTGGCGGGGCTGATGTCGTCCCTTGGCCGCTGCTTCGTCATTGGCTGCTCCCGGTGGCTCATCCGAGTGGCTGATATAAAGGCACACGATTAAGTCCAGCCCTTTGTTTATTCCAATAATTAAATTTGGCAGAGTCGAGATAACCGAGAGCTAGAGGTGGTTGGGGGCCAAACGACTATCGTGTTGGCACGATATCGAATATCGAATGTTTCATATCGATTTTCAATCCCAGTATTTTTCTATATCAGAGCCTTGGTTAGAGATGGCACAGTATATAATTATCGAATGTGTTATCGCAGCTTAAATTTAAAAAAGATGAGATGGCGGTTACAAAATATTTAACCATACTGAATACTGCCCCCAGAAATCCCATAATAACTCCACACCCGGCGCTAGATATCTAACAATTTTTATGTCAAAGATGCAATTTTTTTTAAACAATACATAAATATAACATTTTACTATAAACGGGAAGGAGCCACATTTTGGGTCTACATTTACAAAGTTCATATGGGTAGATCAGGGGATAATAGCTACTAGGCGTTCAAACTCTAATGTCTGGCCAAATGAAAACGACTGCTCTTGATGTCAACGTTAAAACGGCGAGCCCATTCCGCCAGTTCATCGAACTAAAAAGAAAATTTACTATGATTAGTTGGAATGTAATTAGTTAGGTTTTATGGACTTACTCCTTCGCCGTCTACGACATTATCGCAGAAGCTCAGGTCGAGTAATTGCAGCTTGGGGCAACCAACCAGGATGCTAAGAAATAGAAAAAAAACATCACTTATAAGGTAGAGGTCTAGATTACCATATATACTTACTCGTAGACTCGTTCATGCGTTAGACTTATCATGCCCATGAGGTCCAGTTGCTCCAGGTTCTTGCCCAGCGCCGCAATATGCATGAGATCACGTTCGGTGGTACCACGCACCGCCGATAGGAAGAGCTTCCTCAGCTTGGGACAGTTGGTCAGCAGCTTAAGCAGCCCATCGCCCAGCGAAGACTCACGCAGGCTTAGCGGTTCAAGAAGGAATCTGTTTTAAAAGAAATAAGATTTTCGAACTTGAAGAGCGACCTACCACCAGCCAAGATCTAATTCTTCGAGTTGATGCAGCTTGGTAATGAACTGCAGCCCCCGGGTGGTGAGAAAATGTGCCTTCCACAGATCCAACGTAATTAGCTGGGTATTGTACGTGGCCAGGTGTTCAACAACATCATCCATGTTGACAGAGACTCCACAAAAGGCTGGGTATATAATAAAAAAAAAATATAGAAAAATAGAAGAAAAATAGTTTGTTCATTTTTTGAGTCTCACCCAAGTTTAAGTGCTTCAGCTTGCGATTGCTCTCGAGCATGCTCAGTAGCAGCTCGGTCTCGAAGGCCGTTTGGAAGAGATCGAGCCGCTCCAGGTTCTTAAGATTGGCCAGACAGGAGAAGTTCAGCAGTGGTGGATCGGTGGCGCAATTGCGCAGACTCAATTCTGCAAAGATGACAAATGGTTGGGATCCATAGTATCAGTAATAAGGATTTACCTACCAGTCAGGTTATCACAGACTATTCCCACGGTTTCAATGCAGCTTGCATTCAGAAACTTGCAGGAGCTCAGCCGCAGGTGGGTAAGATTGTCGCCGCGTTGGGTGAGGAATCTAAAAAATACAAAGAATAGGACACATTGGTTTATATTCTATTTAGAAGTGGAAATCTATAACCTACTTCTTGAACTCGGTGGGCGAGATATTGCCCATCCCACCGCACCAGGACAGGTCCAGTTTGCGCAGCATCGTTGCCCTGCTGGCCAGAGTGCAGAGAAGCTCCGAGCTGGCCAAATGCCAATAGGGCTTCAGGCTCAGCTCCCCGTATAGCAGCGGGTGTATGGATATATCGTAAAAGGTGCGCGACACCCGACCCACGAGGAACAGGGACTTTAAGTCCAGGTAGCTAAGTATGCGCAACAGGATCTCGAAGGGTAGGTCCGTAAGACAGAGACGTGGCACTGGCGCCTCGGCCGTTTCATCCACTTGATTCTCAAGCAGAAACTGGGTTAGGTCGTTGTTGATAAACTCATGCAGCTTGGTGGCTCCATCCTGGCCACAATTTGGCTGAAACTTTAGAGTACGCAACTTGCAGCTAATGGGTCCATCGCCAATTTCCTCCGAAGACGATGTCAGCGGTGGCGGTGTCGGCGTTGAAGGCGCACTTGCCACTTGCCTGTGCTGGAGGCGCTGCCTGCCCATTAGGTTATGTATTCGAGAAACGGTTCTTCCGCACAGCATGATGGCATCAATTTCTGTGTAGTAGAACAGGCGGCTATGATTGAAGTCGATGCGCAGCGTTCTAAACGAAAACCTTTGAATATCTGAACTTTTATTGGCACTTTTAGGGAATCTCACTTGGTTATTATGGTGGTCTTCTTAATGGGAGGTGCAAAGCGTCGTGCCTCCCTGCCCGGTCCCAGCTTGGCATCGTTGTCTGTGGCCTCCCAAAGGCAAGTCCAATTTTTGGTTATGCCATAGGCCCAAATTCGTACCACGGCGCCGGGATTAAAGGTCTCGAAAATGGCCACCTCCGTAGGCACTACAAACTCCTCAAAGTAGACAACTGCAACAATAGGGTTAATCAGTTTTCTTTGGAGAGCGGGGAAAGCGATAACTCACCTATATAATCATGGGTGTCCACCTTGGGCATATTCTGGGCTTGAATCTCCCGTGTGGCGGATGGAGCCTTCAACCACCAGTCGCCATAGGTGCGCTGGAATTCAAAAGATTATTGATTGATTAAATCACCATTTCACTATGACCTCACCATTGTATAGGTCTCCGGATAATCCCCATATGCGGGATACTTGGTAGGACGTCCAATTATATTCGCCGCAGTGTACGAGATACTGTAGTCGATGCCGTATTGGGAGCTAAAGTCTAGAACGCCCAACACATACTGCTCAAGATAGTAGCCCTGATCGGGTGGCTCCGGCTGCATCTTGCTGCCGCAACCGAACCAGCCGCCATACTCGCGCTGCCGTCCGCCGTTCCGCTGCTGCCTCAGCATGGCCGTGAAATCTACCAGAGCGTCCGGCTGTTCGGCGTCGTTCGAGGGATCTTCGATGTTGTAGGCCCGCAGGGACATGGCCTTCGGGGCCAGCAGCGGGCCGTAAGTGAGTCTCAGCGTGTCGACCGACCAGAGTCCCAGTAGAGCCGCTCCAGAAGAGTCGCCCCAGCCACCAAGACGACCACCCGCTTCTTCTGACGACGCGTACCACGGCAGGCGCGGCGCATAACCAAGCCAGAGTCGCCGCTTCTGTCCAAGATTCTGTTCTGTTCCGCCTCCTGTTTGGCTCTCTTCTCCAGTTGCCTCTCTGTGGGCTTCTGTTGCTCTCGTCGCTCTGCTGCTGGCAAGGATTTGTTGTATGTCAAGGGTAATGATGATCCTTGAGTGCTGACGCTCGTCCTTGGAACCGCCTTGGCCAGTGCTGGTGAGGTCACGTTGCTGGGCCAGACCTTAATGGTCTCGCTTTTGTGGTATCGACTGTTGGTTTCCTCCCGGATTTCCGTTGCTAATCCAATTAGGGCTCTTCCAAATGTCAAGTCCTCTTTGTGCTGTTTTTCCAGCTTTTCTTCCAATTCCTCCGTGCTCCGGAGCCGTATCCGCTGTTCGGTCTTGTCTATTGTCTCTTGGTCTCCCTTGGGTCGTCCGTTCTTGTTTGTATCTTTTATTGTTTGGTGAAACACGGAGGAAATTAGGAAAACTTTTGGCTCGAATGTTTAACGAAAACAATAATTCGAGGGCTGCAAGTCATGCACAATACACCACAATGAAAACACACTGCCAGGGCTACAGAGCAATTAACCAACACTGCTTGTTACACGATACGACCAAGACATCATTCAAGGATGATTTTGAGCTTGTTGCAAGCCAGCTAGAAGCCTAGCTTGGAAAGCGATACAATGCCTTTTGATTCAAAAATAACTGGATCATGGAAAGGGATTTGTCTTTTCATCCTAAAGTTACTTGATTATTAAAACATTACCATGTTACCATATCAATAAAAAATGTAACTTAAGAAGATTAATTAAAATTTAAAATTATTTTGTTTATTTTATTTTTTTTTATAATATCCTAGTTTATAAGGATTTTAATATTTATTTTTCAATATAAAGTTCTAGAAACATCTGTTTTGCATGATGAAACCATCATGCCAATGTCTCGTGCCTAATACTCTTCAAGGTAACGGCGTGCAACAGCTGAATCCGAAGACTTCCGTAACTCCATGCTGCGTTTGTTGACGAGGTCCAGACACCAGTGGTTTCCATTGGCCTCCTGCACTTCTCGGAGCATGAAGACTCGACCACGACTGGACTACCGCAACAAGCTCATCCTGGCGCCAATGGTGCGTGTGGGCACGTTGCCCATGCGACTCCTTGCGCTGGAGATGGGTGCGGATATTGTTTACACGGAGGAGCTGGTAGACCTGAAACTCATCAAGAGCATCCGGAGGCACAATCGTGAGTGACACAACCAACAAAATAAAGAACAATTTTTAATCGAAATCGATGCAGCGGCTCTGGGCACCGTGGACTTTGTGGACCCATCTGATGGAACTATTGTTTTTCGCACCTGCGCCCAAGAGACTTCACGCCTTGTCCTCCAGATGGGCACCAGCGACGCCGAACGGGCCCTGGCCGTGGGCAAGCTGCTGCAACGAGACATTTCCGGTCTGGACATCAATATGGGCTGCCCCAAGGAGTTCTCCATCAAAGGCGGCATGGGTGCGGCTCTGCTCTCCGAGCCGGACAAGGCGGCGGTCATCCTGCGCACGCTCTGCTCTAACTTGGACATACCCGTAACCTGTAAGATTCGTATACTGCCGGATGTGGACGACACCATTCGCTTGGTGCAAAAACTAGCCGATACAGGAATCGCAGCCATTGGCATCCATGCCCGAACCCGGGACGAAAGACCGCAGCATAAGCCGCACCCAGACGTCCTGCGAGCCGTGGCCCAAGCCGTGTCCATTCCAATTATAGCCAATGGCGGATCACGCGACATGCACGTGTACGAGGATCTGCGCAAGTTCCAGGAGGATTGTGGAGCTGATAGCGTTATGGTGGCCCGGGCTGCGCAGCTAAATGTGAGCATCTTCCGGCCCGAGGGCCTGCTGCCCATGGACGAGCTGATCGAGAAATATCTGCGCCTATGTGTGGATTACGATAATGCCCCGCACAATGCCAAGTACTGTGTCCAAAGCATTCTGCGCGAGCTGCAGGAGACGCCGCGTGGAAAACGCTTTCTCCAGTGCCAGACTCTACAGCAAATCTGCGAGATTTGGCACCTGGGTGACTACTGTCGGCGCAAGCAGAGGGAGCTGCAGACACTAGGCAACTCCGGTCGAGCCGATGTAGAGCCGCCGGAGGCTCAGGCCAAGCGTTTGAAGCTCGAAGAGGCGGCAAATGCCATCGTAGACGAGTATGCTGGCGTTATTTGCCGCAATATGCCTTTCCTACGCTCAACCTATGCCAGCGGTAAATGTTTTTCAACATTTTCTCATGATTTTTCCTTCAAGACTGATCTGTTTTTTCTTTTAGACAACCACCTGCCCAAGACGCAGTTATATGTCCATGCTGGCAAGGCAGGCAAAAACCCACCAGGCTATGAAACGCAGCAGTGCGACAAGCTTTTCAGAGCCATCTGCAGCTACGATGGCCAGCGCTTCAGCAGCACCTTCTGGGAAAAGAATAAGAAGCAGGCGGAGCAGGGCGCCGCTCTTGTGGCGCTGCTGCATCTCGGCCAGCTGGAGGAGGAAACGTTACGCGACAATGGTAGCCTCATAAACTGACTAGCGCCCACCAGGCGCGGATGTACATACTCCCCCTAGACACTGTGTTTGTTATTCGTGTTTTCCAATAAAAAGAAAAGGAATCCCCTTGAAATCCATTAAGTTCTCATGAAAACTTTTTTTTTAATCTTTTGTTGGGGTGATGACTTTGCTCCCAATCGTTTGGGGCACTGGACTTGAACTTTTTCCATGGCTGATGAACAAACCGCAACCTCTATGGCACATTTTAATGCAGATCACTGGAAAATATAACTAGGCCTGTTTTAAAATATTCCGCTTTAGAATCGATTGACTATTGGAAAAGATATTAGCTCCGTTTGGGAGTCTAGTCTCCTCAACTGTGTCGAGAGGATCCACCCCGAAAATTCACCAAAAATATATATCCAAACCTTAAACGCAACATTTTCATGCATATTGAATGAGAATGGAGCTAAGATTGTTATACCCTTGCAGAGGGTATTATAATTTTTGTCAAAAGTAACAGTTAAACAACACCGTGCGACAAAAAAAAAATTGGAGGAACTTTTGAGGAGACCTACATAGTATTATAGGAATTTTTTATTAGGTCGAATATAGTGTAAAACCGTATTTGAAATTTTTCTAACACCCACAAAATCTTGATTTATTTAGAAAAAACGGTTTTTCGGGACTTTTTCCTCAAAATTTCTAAAAATTTCTAAGCGCGTAATTTAAAACCGATTTTACGTTTTTCAAATATTGTAGCTTTTGAAGAAAAATAGATTTTATATTATAATATATTTCAACAATAAGGATACAATTTTTACGCAAGAAACTGACATTTTTGAAATGTTGTCGTGTTTTTCGGCCATTTTTTCGGTACGACTTCCAAGAAATGGTATCATTTTTGACACATATCAATATTGTCTGAATAAAACGAGACCAATTTCATTAGGAAATTATGAAAATTGTTGAAGCTATAACGCTTTTCCAAAACAAGTACATATTTCATAACGATCGGCTATATTTCATAACTTCTATAGAAATGGTATTTGGGAGTTCGTATACCAGCATTGGTATTTTTGAAGATAGAAGCTTGGGACTTTGGATCTTTTTTAGATTTTGGATTGTAATAAATTGGATATATTATGATATTCTCATAAGGATCGGCCAACTATATCCGGTATATATTAACTGCAAGGGTATATCGACTTCAGCTCCGAGCGGAGTTAGCTTTCCTTTTTTGTTTGTTGTCATTTCGGTGTTTCTGACACATATGCTAACGATATAACGATAAAATAACGTTAACGATTTTATCTACAATTTCTTTCCAAATAAGTAGGCTGGGTAAACAAAGGCATTCATCCAAACAAATCCATTCAAATAATTTTTCAATTTAGTGAGCATCAACATCACTAAACATTATCGTAGATTTCAACGAAAGCGACGAGTCTCTAACTTCATTATGATTACGGAATTGTTGGGTGTCTTTGGACTTCTGGTCGCTATAGGATTTATGGTCAAGTGTACCTTGTCTATGCTGAATAAACTGGGAGAAATGAATCGTGAAGACAGGTTTCTAGTACTAGAAGCGGAGTTTCTAGTACTGAAAGCAGAGCTTCTAGAAATTATGGAACTTTCAATAACATCCGATGAAAATCTAAATACCATCAATATGTTCAAAATTATGCTCTTCATTTACCGCATAAATGATTTGCGTAACGAATATATAGAAGAATTTGAAAGTATAATATAATTATATTGGAAAGATTATCTTTAAAATGTAGGTATTCTATTTAGTTTTGAATTAATTTTAATCTTTGATATTGATTTTTCCATTTTATATTTTCAGAGTTCCGATCTATTTTTATTTTTTTTTTGGCCGGTAAGTGATTGTGAACTTCTTAGCTTTTTTTAAATTAATTTTTTATATCTGTATTTTATTTCTACTTTAAGTAAAAATTAATCCAGTACTAACAACTGAAGACTTACTTTTACTATTCGGACCTTAGTAAGAAATAAAGAATTTCACAAATTCATACGAAACCTTATTGTAATACCACAAAATTTTAAGAATGTAAATTATAATAAATGCTATTTGCATTAAAAAAATGGTAACTTTTTAATGAAATGGAATGGTCTTATACTCTTATGCATATTATAAAATCTTTAAAATAATATTCATAAATATCTACAAATATTTATACCCTTGTAGAGGGTATTACAATTTTGTCCAATAGTGTGCAACGCAGTTAAGGAGACATCTCCGACCCTATAAAGTATATATATTCTTGATCAGAAACACACCCTTCTTTCCTTTACACGCAGTTTATAATTCGGAACAGCCGGGATCGGCCGACTATATCCGAAAGCTGCCACATAATTTATTGATTAGAAATGGTGTAGTAACTTCGGTATTTTTACAGTTTGAGAGTTCGGATATTTTATGAATTCTTTTATTGGCAAAATAGTACGATATAAAATTTTTTATAAGAATCCTATGGAGGAAAACCCCATTTTCAAAAGATGCCATCAGGAAAAATGGACAAAAAATCTAAAAAATATTTTGTCTCAGGATTTTGATGCAGAATAGTGGGAAATCGATCCAGAAATCGTTTAAGGTGCTCCGCTTGAGAATCGGATGAGAATTGGGGAAGATATAGCCATCACTGTGGACCATATAGAAGAAAACCCCATTTTCAAAGGGTCCCCATCAGGAAAAATGGGCAAAAAATCTAAAAAATATTTTGTCTCAGGATTTTTATGCAGAATAGAGGAAAATCGATCCAGAAATCGTTTAAAGTACTCCGCTTGAGAATCGGAAGAGAATTGGGGAAGATATAGCCATCACTGCGGGCCCTATAGGGGAAAACCCCATTTTCCAGGGGTCCCCATTGGGAAAAATGGACAAAAAATGTAAAAAATATTTTGTCTCAGGATTTTGATGCAGAATAGTGGGAAATCGATCCAGAAATCGTTTAAGGTACTCCGCTTGAGAATCGGATGAGAATTGGGGAAGATATAGCCATCACTGCGGGCCCTATAGGGGAAAACCCCATTTTCAAGGGGTCCCCATCGGGAAAAATGGACAAAAAATGTAAAAAATATTTTGTCTCAGGATTTTGATGCAGAATAGTGGGAAATCTATCCAGAAATCGTTTAAGGTACTCCGCTTGAGAATCGGAAGAGAATTGGGGAAGATATAGCCATCACTGCGGGCCCTATAGGGGAAAACCCCATTTTCCAGGGGTCCCCATTGGGAAAAATGGACAAAAAATGTAAAAAATATTTTGTCTCAGGATTTTGATGCAGAATAGTGGGAAATCGATCCAGAAATCGTTTAAGGTACTCCGCTTGAGAATCGGATGAGAATTGGGGAAGATAAACCCATCACTGCGGGCCCTATAGGGGAAAACCCCATTTTCAAGGGGTCCCCATCGGGAAAAATGGACAAAAAATGTAAAAAATATTTTGTCTCAGGATTTTGATGCAGAATAGTGGGAAATCTATCCAGAAATCGTTTAAGGTACTCCGCTTGAGAATCGGATGAGAATTGGGGAAGATATAGCCATCACTGCGGGCCCTATAGGGGAAAACCCCATTTTCAAGGGGTCCCCATCGGGAAAAATGGACAAAAAATGTAAAAAATATTTTGTCTCAGGATTTTGATGCAGAATAGTGGGAAATCTATCCAGAAATCGTTTAAGGTACTCCGCTTGAGAATCGGATGAGAATTGGGGAAGATAAACCCATCACTGCGAGCCCTATAGGGGAAAACCCCATTTTCAAGGGGTCCCCATCAGAAAAAATGGACAAAAAATCTAAAAAATATTTTGTCTCAGGATTTTGATGCAGAATAGTGGGAAATCGATCCAGAAATCGTTTAAGGTACTCCGCTTGAGAATCGGATGAGAATTGGGGAAGATATAGCCATCACTGCGGGCCCTATAGGGGAAAACCCCATTTTCAAGGGGTCACCATCGGAAAAAATTGACAAAAAATGTAAAAAATATTTTTTCTCAGGATTTTGATGCAGAATAGTGGGAAATCTATCCAGAAATCGTTTAAGGTACTCCGCTTGAGAATCGGATGAGAGTTGGGGAAGATATAGCCATCACTGCGTTCCCTATAGGGGAAAACCCCATTTTCAAGGGGTCCCCATTGGGAAAAATGGACAAAAAATGTAAAAAATATTTTGTCTCAGGATTTTGATGCAGAATGGTGGGAAATCGATCCAGAAATCGTTTAAGGTACTCCGCTTGAGAATCGGATGAGAATTGGGGAAGATATAGCCATCACTGCGGGCCCTATAGGGGAAAACCCCATTTTCAAGGGGTCCCCATTGCGAAAAATGGACAAAAAATGTAAAAAATATTTTGTCTCAGGATTTTGATGCAGAATAGTGGGAAATCGATCCAGAAATCGTTTAAGGTGCTCCGCTTGAGAATCGGATGAGAATTGGGGAAGATATAGCCATCACTATGGGCCAAATAAGAGACTAAATCCTTTGGTTTGGTTTTATAATAAAAATTTAATAAGGATCGGCCTACTTTATGCGATAAACATCCGATCTTAACCGCAAGGGTATATGAACTTCGCCTCCGCCCGAAGTTAGCTTTCCTTTCTTTTTTAAAATATTTCACTTTAGGATCGGTTTGCTATTGAAAAAGATATTGGCTCCATTCAGAAGCGTAGACTCCCCAACTATGTCAAAGGGATCCACCGTGAAAATTCATACTGATCGCAATAGAATAAAGCCATGCTTTATTTTGTGTATATCGCTGAAGGATCGGTTGACTATTGGGAATGATATTGGCTTTGCTTCGGGAGCCCAGTCTGCCCAACTATGTCAAAAGAATCCAATATTGCTATAAGTATTAGACAGCGAGGTTGGCTATCTAATTTGCGTTACATGTCTGGTTCTATTAATCCTTACCAAGAACATACATGATATTCCTTGAAATGATCGTTTTAATATTGTAATAAAAACACGGAAAACAACACGTTTTGTCATCCAACACAGCGTCAAGTGGAATCATACATCCATTTGAATTATTTAAATTTATTGGGCTTTAATTATTTTCCTAGTGTCGGGGTTCGATGAGATGAATAGCGAGATGAGGCGTGAGGCGTGCTTGCAGCTTCTTAGTGGGGCCGTGACTGGCCGGGCGGTGGGGGTGCTCCGCCATGGCCATGTGACGATCCCTGACCATGGTGACCCCCGTGGTGGCCATGAGAGTTGGGCGGTGGCGGCATCATGGCGTGATCATCGCGAAAGCCGCAGTTCGCGATATAGTTTAATAGGTAGTCCTTGGTAATCGGATGTGTTATACTCTCCACAACAGCTGAAATTGGAATATATTGTCAAATATGTCAAGGATAATTGTTTGAAGAACTTACAGCGTGCTGTTTTGTAGCTGTTTGGATGTTTTTTGTCGGTTCGCTCGCGCATAAACTCCCAGTTGCCATACTGATTCATGGTGCACTCCACAATTCGGTTGTCCAGTTCACGCACCTCCTTCGTTAGCTTCTGCATTCGACCAAAGGGAGCATCGTGGCCGCCCACATAAAGGAAGCCCACCTTCTTGGTGAGGAGACTGTAATAATGAAATAAAACTTTGTACCGTTTCGTTTACATACGTTCCACAACACTTACCCCTCGCCCCGTTCCATGATGACCTTCAGCCGAAAGTCTACAGAATTTAGTTCGTGCGGCTTCCACTTGAATACATCCGAGCAGACGCCAGCCATGTAGGGCTGCTGCGACGGCTGAAAGATCAGACCGTCCGGCTCGTGAGTTAATGTGCGCGCAAACTTTTCGCCTAGAAGTCGGGCGGACATCCAAATGTCCCAGAAATCCTTGCCCCGCACACTGAAAGCCTGCAGTCGCTGGTTGATGATACCATGCTTCATTCCAAGGATGCGAGGGCCTAAGACGCATAGATTTTTTACATATATCAAGAATAAACTATTATAGGCTTGATGGTACTCACCTATCACTTCCTTTTTAATGTAATCCAGTCGGTTGGGGAAGAAGGGCTCGTCTTTAACGTCGCGATGCGAAAGTCTCACAATGTCATAGACCAGATATCGTGGCGTCACTGTTTCACCAACCTTGTCCAGCACCATTTCCTAGGAAAAGGAATAAGCAAATCATATGTAAAAGAGAGCTGTGGAAAAGGCCTTTTCGTAACATACCCCATCCACGAGTGTGCCCTCCAAGTGTTCGTTAAGGTTCTTGCCGTCAACAAAGGCAACGCTTTCCACCTGAAAGCACGAGTGGTTGCGATCGAAGAAGTAGACCTCGTCGCGGCCGTCGATGAGCATCATGTAACGCGTACCGTCCGCCTTCCAGGACACACGGTATGGAATCTCACTGAGGCGTTTAATGTTGTGCCTATCCATGGAAACTGGCTGTGAACCTGGGAACCCGTTCTTGTTCCAATTGCACCAGTCCTGAACCTTTCGCTGCAGTTCTCCCAGTCTGGGTTGATCACTAACCTGGCGTACGCCGGGAACACCGGCCATAAATGTGGCATTCTTGACTACCATTTCGCGTCGCCGTTTCTTTTTCGGTTGTCCGTCCGAAGTGGAGGCATCGCCATCGCCCTCTTCACCCTCTTGATCTTCCGCATCGTCACCATCCTGTCCCGCCTCACCATGACTCTGCCCAGTGGACGTGGAAGAGCTGTGATCGTCGAAGTGACGCTTTCGACTGTCCAACTCCGAAGCGGATCCATCACCATTGCTGTCATCATAGTCCAGACACCAGTTGGGCTGCTCTGGGGCCTGTGGGGCATCCTCCTCGTCCTCGTAGCGCTTGTACAGTTCATTGATGTAATCCTGCTTGTAGATACCTGGCGGACGGGCATTGGCGAAGACGGACAGTGCAGCTTCCACGGAACAATCCAAACGCTCAACCATGTACGAGACAATTAGAAAGCCTGTGCGATTAAAGCCGTGGGTGCAGTGAACGGCAATCACATCGAAGGGACGCTCGTTGATGAAGTTGTCTACGATTTCTATAAAGCTGCGCGTTTGTTCCGGCGACGGGGTCTCGCCATGTCCACGGCACTGGAGCTTAATGTACTGAGTGCCGCGCTCCTCTACTGTGGCTCGGTCGTAAAACCGTTTTGTGTTTGTCAAATCCACCCATAGACCCAGTTTCAACTGCACAAGCAAGAAGCGATGTATTCAACGTGAATTAAGAAAACGATGTGGTGGACTTACCTTCGTGGTCTTGCAATAGTCGAAAAGCATCTCCGGTCGAAAGGTGCACTCTATGGGCATTTTGTCCTGAAAATTGGCGCTTAACGGTGTTTTGAATGCGAGAAAGCGCTCCGCAATGATGGTGTCGCTTTTACGAGGACAATATAGCCAGCGATTCGGTAGCGGCCCAGAATCACGGCCCCGGTCCCGATCCTTGTCCCTTTCCCGATGGGATTGGGCCATCTTCCGGCTGTTGGTTGGTCACTTCCTATACGGGATGCGCGGGCTGCACGGGTTGGGAAGCCGTTGCCGATGCAAAAGCACTAGCAAATAAGATAGATACTACTTCGCCTGGTACCAGTCTTGTTGTGCTTGCGTTGACTGGGATCTCACATTAGAGCTGGGAAACTATCGATGTATCGATTTTGTAAATTGGAGCCAGCCTCGATAGTTTTTTGTCGTTATCGATGGTGCACAGAACACGAGGCTTGGTTGCAGAAATTTTGGTAAAAAATATGCAACAAAATAACAATGGAATCTTTTCTAATAAGATTGCATTTTTTAGTAACTTACTCTGGCTTGTAACGAATATAAATGAATAAAAATTAAAATTCAAAAATATTGCGGATGTGGCACCTCTTTCACCTCTAGTCACATCGTATGGCAACTCTGTTGACCAACAGCTGATTTCACAAATAAAATGAAAAACAGACTGGTGTTGTACGCGATTTTTGTGTCCTTTATGGCCACAAATCCCGCCACCCTTGCCATCCAGGCACGCAGTGACAAGGAGCAGGCCCAGACCGTTGTGTCAGGCACTGCGGTGCAATCGGTGGTACCCGTGCAGGCGCAACTGGCCTCAGCATCTGCATCGTCATCCGGCGGATCAGCCTCGAGCTCAGTTTTCTATCCACTGGGGCCGAATGTGATGTGCTCCTTCTTGCCACGGGACTTTCTGGAGTGCAAGGAACCCATCGATCACCGGGAGAATGCCACTGCGAAATTTGAGAAGAAATACGGCTGCCTGAAGTTCGGCGGCTCCACCTACCACGACGTAGAGCACACCAAAGTGCAGTGCACGGTCTTTGCGGATATTGATTGCTTTGGGAACCGCACCTTTTTCCGCGAGGGAGTACCCTGTATCCGCTACACGGATCATTATTTTGTGACAACCCTCATCTACAGTATGCTCCTGGGCTTCCTCGGCATGGATCGTTTCTGTCTCGGCCAAACTGGAACTGCCGTGGGCAAGCTACTAACCATGGGCGGCGTGGGCGTGTGGTGGATCATCGACGTCATCCTGCTGATCACAAACAATCTCCTTCCAGAGGATGGAAGCAACTGGAATCCCTATGTCTAGACGTGTGATATTTGTACATGTACATATGCGTATCCTAATATAGTTTTGTAATTAGTTTGATAAGAATCTTCCACTATAATATAATACCTATTATGAAATATATTCGTTTCGGGCTTTAGTTTAAAACCTGATACTGTAAGTACTGTTAAGAACTCAATAAAAAATCTTCTTAATATAATATAATAGTAAAACTTAATACTTCTAATTTTCAGGAAATTTATTTGGGTTTTTTGGGAAAAAGAACCTTTTTTAATAATCCTTCAGGTATAAAAGAGATTAATTGTTGAAACAAATTGTTGCTTCAAATCAACCGCTCGACTTTGTCTTCAATTTGAAAAGTTTGGTCCCTCTAATTCGAGGACAACGGTATTCGAACGCTTATACGGTCTCTCCGAAAAGAGAAAATTCTATTTAAGGCAGCGCAACGTTCATTGTTTCGCTTTGCGCTTCCTGCGTTCCGGCTGACGCAAAAAAAAGGAGAAAATATTGCGAAAAAATATATTGGATTTTGGAGACATACACTTGTTATGTGTATATGTAAATATATATATATATTATCATGTATTTTTGAGAAAGGAACGCCATTCGCGGTCACACTGGCAAGCAGAGCGGTCGACTGCGCAGCAAGAAAAACAATAAACTCAATAATAAATAAAGAAACTTCGAAAAATAGTAAATAAATAAATGAAAAAATTACAATAATAACACCGACAAGGACCGCACACACACACAAGAAGGAGAGGGAGAGAGAGCAAGAGAAAGCTGCCCCGAAAGTATGCAACAAAAGGCTGCAAAAATGTGAATAACAGTACTTCTACTACTACCAACAACCATAAGCAACAACAAAAACAGCAGCATCATCATCATCATCACACACACGCACGCACGCACAACTTGTTGTTGTTTTTCTTATATAAGTGTGTGTGTGTGTGCTGGCTGGCTGGCTGGATGTGTGTGTGTGTGTGCGTGCGTAGTAGTAAAAATGTAGTAATAGTATAGTAGTTTTCAAATGCAACAACTACAAAAAATAATAAGACAACGAATCTAAAGGAAATTTTTTTGATACCAAACTTTTGTTAACACGAAGAATCCAACAAAATAAAAAGAAAGGAAGCAGCTGGCCAAAAAATATTTAAAAACTAAAGAGAGAGAGAGAGAAAGAGAGAAGCATCAACTGAAAATACATATTTGCCTCAAGAATAATACCACAAAAGAAGCAAAAAAAAAAATAATAAAATAACAGTATAAAAAAAGAGCGAGCAAGAGCGAGCGTCCATCATCCACCAATACAAATGAACATGCTACACAGTTTCAGTGGAGGCGGCGCCGGCAGCGCTGCCAACGCCTCAGGCGACGCCAACAGCGGTGAGTGAGGAACAACTTTTACCTTCCCCCCCTCCAGCTCCCCTCCTTACCAAACTTTCCAAATATTTCTCCCAAAAAAATAACAAAATAACTCTCAACATATTTCGGCAATACACACACCCACACCCAAACACACACACACACATAAATGGCTGCAAATACCAATTACACATACATGCATGAACGCCAATGTGGCTACTTTGTGTCTGTGTGCGGCGTGTTGTTGTTTTTGTTTCGTATTCGTTTTGGTGTTGATGCGTAGAAGGTGCGAAAGTGAAATGATTTGCCGTTGTTTTTGTAAGAAAAACGAAAAAGTAATACTCGCCTACGGTGTGTAGTCCTTAAAAGGAACAAAGAAAAATATTGGAATTAAAGGTTATTTTTTATAATATTTAAAATCATTATAATTACATTTTTAGGCCTAATTAATAATTTTTTTTTTTCTTTTTTATAAGTAACACAGTATACATTAATCACTGTATATTAAAAGTTCAAGCAAGCGGCCATTTTTTTTTGTAATTGCTTCAATGAACTCGAGAGTCGAATCATAGCATACTTTCTTGCGCTCGGAGTATGGAGGATACATTCCAATACATATGTATATTTTTGTATATATCCCTATATATACACACAAAATCCAACTTTTCTGAAACGAAACTTTTCTGTAATGAAGTAAAGTTTTATGGTAACATTCCACGAAAGTTTACGTCGTGAAATAATTGATTACTTCGAGACTCTCTAATAGCATAAGTTGTTGTTCGAAACTCTTTCGAAGTAGTTTTTAGTTTTTCTTTGAGTCGCTTAAACAATTCGATTGGAAAATGGCTTAAATCACTTAACAATTTTGCTGTCAGGTAATCAAATCAATTAACGATCAAAATAAAATGCGGAAATTAACGTATAATCGCTCTAATTGGTATCGATTGCATCGCTATCCGTCCGAGAACCCTGCCAATTAAATGAAATTACGTTGACCATGCAAAATGCAAAAGTTCACGGCCAATAGGTCAATTTACCGCTAATCTTTTGTCTTGTTCTTGCTGCTTCTTGTTAGGGCTTTTGTTGTCGCTTCGTTTACGAACGCGTTTACTTTTTAGCGAACGCAGCTAATTGACCGTACATCGTATCGTATCGGGACTGCTAATGACGGACGGAACCGGTAATTGCATTAGACATCGTATATTCCTGATGCGATTACGTCCGGCTGGCCATTTCACTCCGCCCCCTGCGGGCACGGACCCTATCCGGCCGGCCCTCTCATTTGAAATTCATCAAATTGCTGGCAATAAAAGTAATCAGAGAAGCGCGAGCAATGTCCGGTCTATATCCTTAGCATTCCATAATATTTTGGTCTCTTTGGGGCACTGCAAAAAAAAAAATAATAATGGAAATATGTATCTTTTTAGTACAACAACGAAGACATCATTAATCATTTGATAATTAATCACGAACCAAGTTTTAGAATAAAGTTTTTGGGCGTGATAGCGGAAGTGGAGGCAGAAACGTAGCATACTTATAAGGGTTATTCTTCAGATTTTATCAGGGGTGACATTTTTAAACTTTTTAAGAATTTTATGGTTTTTTAAAAAATTAAAAAAAAAAATTTTAATAATAATAAATTAAAATATTTATTAGCAGTCTATTTTTCTTTTAAAAATTTCCATAATTTCCGTTTTAATCTTCATAAGGGTTTCTTCCACTTTTAACCATTCTTTTCAAGCTTTTAAGCTTCTTTTGTTTAAATATCCTTTGTTTCCGTTGCTTTTTTCTCTGTGCACAAATACAAGACGCTCACACCCATACATATACACACTTACAAACCTTATATGTATGTATGTGTGTGGCGTGCGCTTCGGCCTTTTGTTGGGTAACAAACATATGTTTGAGCCCCGCTTCCATTTACAATATGGCCGCCATGGCATGGGATTTAATGATGTGTGTGTGGGATGGGGTGGGGTGTTGCTTCTTCTGCTGCCGCCTGAAACTGGCAGCGAATTAAAGGAGCACGCAGCAAGTTCCTGTTGCATTCAGGGGCGCAGGATAAACTAGTACTACTACTCAAGGAATATATTTATTGAAAAAATACTAATTTTAATATGAGGTATATATTTATATGATTTAAATAATATTGTTGATTTTTAGAAAACCCCTTTTAATTAGTTTTTGCCTACGCCCTTTTTTAAGCTCACACGCACCATCACGAGCTCCATTTGCCATCCCGTTCTGTTAACATAAAAAGAGCAGGAGTGGTGAGCCCATCGGGCAGCGTCTCATCTGCCATCTCACCTCACCCATTCGCGCCTTCGCCGGTTCGTCGCCTCTTCCTTTGTGCCTTTCTTCTCGGATTTCCCCCAGTTTTCCCTGTTAGCGTTTTCATTTTCGTTTTGTTGGCTACGCTTTTTTATGTGTGTTTGTGTGGGTGAGTGCGCCCTGTCATCAGCTGTTTTATGTTGTTCAGGGTCAAGTGTGTGGCCTGTGGTGTGTTGGTAGCGTCGCAGGTGTCGCGATCTCTCCATCTCTATCGCACTCTTGTAATTATCACACCCCAGTCATCCCCATACCTCTGGCTGGCTCTTTCGCGCTTTCTATTCGGTTAGGTCCTGTTCAGTTCTGTCCTGTTTTGCTCTGCTCTGCTCTGTTGTTGTAGGTTATAATTCAAGGAAGTTTTTTAGCATCGCTGGTTGACGTTCAAGGTTACTATAAACACGCACACAATAGGGCACACATGCCAGGCACACACACACACTCATACATATCCTACTGGTACCCTTTTTGCAAGCCCCCGCCGCCTTCTGTTGTTTATGGAAGTCACGGCAATTGCAAATTGCATTTGAAAATTGAAAATAAACAACTTAGCGAGTGAAGGAGCGCACTTGGCCTTTTCAATGACATTCTCCGCCAATGGAAGTTCATTTAATTACCTTTATTCATTTATTTGCCAGGTATTTAGGTTATGAAGTGCTCTGGTAACTACTATTGTGAACAAATATTTTCTATATCATTCAAGTTTTACTTTCGTTTGAGGGCTTCGTTTTGAGTCGTATTAAGGGCTTTTAAAGTGAAACTTTCTCTTCGTTTGGTGTTAATATAAAATTAATTTAAAAAAAAATTAAAATCAATTAAAATTTAGGGGAAAAACGTATCTAATAACTATGGATTGATTAAAAAGTATAAAAAAATTTATAATAAACAATTATAAGAAATAAATTTTGTTTAAAATCTTAATTTTGTTTAATTTCTTAAAGTTTTTTAGTTCTTTATGTATCTTTCCTATGTCATTTATATGTCATTTATATATAAAAAAAAAACATGAACCAATTTTCCAAAGAATTTCTTAAAGAATTTCCCTTTAAGATGTAGGAAAAGTTTTGCATTTTTTCTTTGTTTTCCTTGCAATTTCTTGGTTAAAAAAGTTTTCATATTGATTTTGTCCTTTCTGGAGGTCTTCCGGGAACTTTGGGGGGGATGGGGGTTGGGAACAGCCAGGGGCTTCCCGGGCTTCGAAACCGAAGGAGTCCCGGCATCCAGGACATTGGCGGGCCTTGTCACGTAGCGGCGTAAATCCTTTATTTCCATTCTAATTAGAAGCGCGCTTTTCCTTTCTCTTCTCTGCCACTCTCTTCCGTGCCGCCTTTTCTTTCCATTTTCTGGTCCTTTTCCCGCCCCTCCTGCCCCTGCCCCACTCGTTGGTCCTTTTATCCTATTAGCATATTTGTATATAGAACAATGGCAGGGCATTTACATGCGAGTACAGTGCTTTCCATAAGAATATGCATTCCTAATGTCACGAAATTCAAATGGAAAGTTTATCCAAAACTGGCGATTAAGATGCATAGTTGGGCAGCATTCCTCCAAGCTGACAAGTCAATAGATAGACATGTCATATGCCTACATCAAGTATACGCACTGTCTGCCGCATACACATCGATTTATGTACAAATATATACATAGGTATATGTGTATGGGATATATGTATATGGGTTTAGTGGAGCATAGGGACGATTTTGTGCACAGGAGCAGACGGAACAAAAATTGACAGCGATGACAAAATGATTGACGTCGGTCTGGAGGTTCCGAAAAAAAAAACACGAGAAGGCGAAAGCGAAGGCAAAGGCAAACGCAATCGCAGACTATAAGGATATTGATGGATATCGATGTACCAGGATGTGTACGAGGATGGGCCGGAGTTGGGCACTTTGGCATGTGCAATCAATCAAAGCATACTTATCGGAGCTCCTTTTGGGAGTGGAACTGGAAATGGAAAAGCAAACAGGATACTTCAATAGTCCCAGGATAGTGGGGAGTGGAGTCCTGGGAATTACCACCACGGAGACAGTCAGAGAAACGAGAAACTAATAGAAGAGAACGACCCTTTATACATAAAATAGATAAGTTTATAGAATAGTATTGCCGCACTTACCCTTATTTTCTTTCACTGTTTCAATTCGATATCCTATTCCATTCCAGCCGAGACCGAGCTGAAGGAGCGGCTGATTGCCAGCGTGAAGAAGGAGGTCAAGCAGCTGATGGAGGAGGCGGTCACCAAGAAGTACGTCCACGAGGAGAGCAGCTCCGTGACCTCCTTGTGCGGAGCTGTCGAGGCCTGCCTGAGTCACGGCCTCCGTCGGCGGGCCCTGGGCCTCTTCAAGACCTCCTCGACGACGGCGCTGATCCAGAAGATAGCCAAGATCTGCCCAGAGGCGGACTACGTAAGCCGCCGTCTCCTCGAACTGGAACTGGCCCAGGAGAGTCATGCCGTGAGCGGCAAACGCTCCTCCTCCAGCAGCGACAGCATCATCAAGCCGAAGCTCCTGAGCAAGGGCAGCGGGAGCAGCAGTTCGGTGACCACCATCAATACGGTTTCCAATGGCCCGGGCGGGGGCAATGCCCCCGGCGGTATGGCCGCTCCACTGGGCAAGTACTTGTGGATCCGATTGGCCCTCTACGAGAAGCGTCTGGCCAAGATCATTGAGCATTTGGTGAGCAACGCCAGCAGCTACTACGACCGGGAAGCGCTGGTCGCCGACCCGGACTATGGCTCCATACTGAGCTCCCTGCTGGTAGGGCCCTGCGCCCTCGAGTTCACCCGGGCGAAGACTGCCGACCACTATTGGTCCGATCCCTGTGCGGATGAGCTGGTAGGTTTCCATTCTCCTGGAAAGTAACAAAAAAATAAAATAGATTTCCGTTATCAGGTTCAACGTCACAGGATCAGTTCCGGGAATAGGACACCGCCCACCTGCCATCGGCCTATCATCAACTTCAAGAGGAGTCTGCACACCAGCTCCGAGGACACCAGCAGTGGTAGCTTCAAGGCCTGCTCGCCGGCGAGCGTGGCCAAGGACTACGTGGAGTCCCTGCACCAAAACTCGCGCACCACTCTCCTCTACGGCAAGAACAACGTCCTGGTGCTGCCCAAGGACGTCTCGGAGCCCATGCCCGGCTATCTCAGTCTACACCAGAGCATCCAGTCGCTAACCATCAAGTGGACTCCCAATCAGCTGATGAATGGCTACTCCGACGGCGACAACAGCGACAAGAGCTTCTACTGGAGCTACGCCCTCAACATAAACGTGGACGAGATCGTGTATGTCCACTGTCATCAGAACCGTGGCGGCGACACCGGCGGCACCATTATCCTTGTCGGGCAGGACGGCGTCCAGCGGCCACCCATCCACTTTCCGGAGGGCGGGCATCTGCAGGCTTTCCTCAGTTGCCTGGAAACCGGTCTCCTGCCCCACGGACAGCTGGATCCTCCACTTTGGTCGCAGCGCGGCATCGGGAAGCTCTTCCCCTGGCCCAAGAGCGTGCGGCGCCACATATTGCCGTCGGTCATGGAGGCAGGATCTTCGAGCCAGGACGAAACGCCCATCGATTACGTCTTCCGTGTGGTCAGCAAGAGCCAGCACGAGGAGTTCTGTGAGTCCAGATTTTCGGGGGGTTAACTAATAAAAAAGTTTTCAATAGTACCGGGAATATGTACACATTCACATGATATTTATAATTTTGGAAATTATTGGAGTATAAAGAGAAAAATATATCGTTCTTAATAAATTAATATAAAGAAGATGGTTCCCCAAGTTCGGGTATACATAGATATATAATCTTTCAATCTTTAGATATACAATATATAATATTTCCCTTTACTTAATAACTATATACATAGATTCTGATTTTATTTGCTAATATATAGTATTTTGTGAGACAATTATAGTAATTATGGTATAGTTTAATAGAATCTATGGAGTAAAAGGACAAATATTTATTTATTAAGGTACTACTACAAACCTTGAAATTGGTTTACATAAGTACAGGGTAAAGATATTCAGTTATTTTTATTTTTAATCAATTCTTTAAAAGCTTTAGGGGAATATTATATTAAAACTGTTTGAAGGGAAAATATAAATATTGTTTTTTAGGAAATATTCCTAACGCAACACACTAATGCCAAGCACTGAAGCACTAGGTATAGATATTATTTTGATTCCTAAAATAGTTTCAAACTATATCTGGGAATAAAATTATAAAAGTCAACTAATTTAGTCTAAATGAATTATATATTCTTAAATTCCGGGTGTACCCAGCTACTTTTTTAACCCTTCTTGTCTAAAAGAATAAATACTCCTAAAGAAAATAGTTTTTTGGAAGTACAGCGTCTAGATACTATTTGAAAATATTTTATTTTAGAAAAAAAAACCATAATAATCAACTGATTTAAATGTTTAATTTTTTTAGTATGTAATCTTTATGAAATAGATTCTCTTGAACTCCAAGGATAGCTAGTGATTTTGTTGAACATATTTTCGGGGGGAAATTATACCACAATTAAGGTTTAGTTGTATATTTTCTTTGGATAGGAAAGTTTACTATTTTACCAGAACTTAGTACCGAGTATACAAACTCTTTAAAAAAAAAAACTCACTAAAAGGGAACAATCCATTCCTTTTGAGCTTTGGATTAGCAAACCTTAAGATGTAAATAATTTTGTCCAAAAGATACTCAAAAAAAATATGTTCTCAACTACCGGGTATAGACAGTCCTTTCACTGTAGTTCTTCTATTACTTACAAGTATATTTTACCATTTTCCCTAACCTATTTTAGTGGCCACTCATCCCATTTTGGAACTGGGTCGCTCTAGTCCGCGACGCAAGCACCTGGGCAGCTGCTCCACCACCGGCAGTAGCGACTGCTCCAGTAAGAGCCTCTCCATCGACCAGAGCACCTGCGAGACGCCGCTGATGCAGGCCAGCCAAAGCACGAGCATCGAGCTGGTCTGCTCCACGATGAGGCGCCAGATCATCTCCAGGGCCTTTTACGGATGGCTGGCCTACTGCCGCCATCTGTCCACCGTGAGGACACATCTGTCGGGGCTGGTGAATGGAAGGATAATGCCAGATTGTAAGGATAATTTAATAATCTTATAAATTAAAGGAAGTTTAATTGTTTTACCTCTTCTTCCAGTGGCTGCGGATGAGGAGGGTCTGACCAGGGACAAGTGGCTGGCCATGCACGAGGATGGAGTGGTCACCAGCGAACTGGAGTTCTATCGCCTGGTCTACTTCGGTGGCGTGGAGCCGGACCTCAGGAAGGACGTGTGGCCCTATCTCCTGGGACACTACGCCTTCGGCTCGACCCCTGAGGACCGGAAGAAGCAGGACGAGACCTGCAAGCACTACTACGAGACCACAATGAGCGAGTGGCTGGCCGTGGAGGCCATTGTGCGTCAGCGGGAGAAGGAGAAGACGGCCCTGGCCGTGGCCAAGCTAAGTGCCGAGCAGGCCCGGCAGGCGGCCAAGACCGCCAACTCCCTTAATCCCCACCAGAAACTCACCAATGGTTGCCGTCAATTCGATCTGGAGCAGGATCGGGGGAACGTCCACCACGAAGGCGACGAGGACGATATAAACCTAGTCCTGGACGAGGGAGAAAATGATGTTTTCGACGACAATGACTTCTCGGATATATCCGATCCGGGAGACCTATTTGATGAGCCCGAACTGGGCAAGGAGGCGGAAGAAGATGAAGAAGAACTGAAGCCCAAGAAGAAGGACTCCGAGGCAAACGAAGATAAGGCAGAAGAGAAGCCAGATCCGGATAATCCGGAGGAGGAACGTGTCATCCCCCAGCTTAGCGAGCAACTGGTATTGGAGTTCCAAAACATCGACAACATGGAGCCTCTGCGGCTCCAGGAGAACTGCTTTGCCGACTCCGAGACCGAGAACGAACTGGGCCTGAGCCTGGACGGCAGTGGCAACATCCTGATGCTGAGCATCAAGTCCTCCCCATCCACCAGCAGCTACGAAACGGTCGGAAACGAGTTTGCGGACCTCGTCGAGGGCAAGCTTACCGAGGAGGAGGAGCCTTTGGGTCAACTGAGCAAGTTCCACAGCGCCGACGACGTGCGACTGGACGCCCAGGAGGACCTTGAGCCGGAGGAGGAGTCCAGCCAGCCGGCCACGGCGGTCATCATCACGGAGGCCGCATCCCTGGACGCTTTGGACGACGATCTCACCGAGGAGTTCACTTCGCGTAAGACCAGTCTGATGTCGCCTCTGAACGAAGACATCACCGTGGTGGCTTCGCTGGACGCCCTGCAGGAGCCCAAGTCCGCCTGCGTCTCCCCGGCCAGCTCCAATGGCGGCGTCTACAGCGTGGAGCTCCTGGAGCAGTTCGGCCTAAATCTGCACCGGATCGAGAAGGATGTCCAGCGATGTGACAGGAACTACTGGTACTTTGCCAACGAGAACCTGGACAAGCTGCGGAACGTGATCTCCACGTACGTGTGGGAGCACCTGGACGTGGGCTACATGCAGGGCATGTGCGACCTGGTGGCGCCGCTCCTGGTCATCTTCGACGACGAGTCCCTCAGCTACAGCTGCTTCTGCAAGCTCATGGAGCGAATGATCGAGAACTTTCCCAGTGGCGGGGCCATGGACATGCACTTTGCCAACATGAGGTGAGGGACAAGACTTTGATACATGATTCCTTGCTAAGTAATTCCCCCATCTCTCTGTACAGGTCCCTCATCCAGATCCTCGACTCGGAGATGTACGACCTGATGGACTCGAATGGGGACTACACGCACTTCTACTTCTGCTACCGCTGGTTCCTGCTCGACTTCAAGCGGGAGCTCGTCTACGACGACGTCTTCGCCACCTGGGAGGTGATCTGGGCGGCCAAGCACATCGCCTCCGGGCACTTTGTCCTCTTCCTGGCCCTGGCCCTGCTAGAGACCTACCGCGACATCATCCTCTCGAATAGCATGGACTTTACCGATGTCATCAAGTTTTTCAATGGTTAGACATCAGTATTTCTAGTTGTACCCTATATTTTAATCCTTGAATATCTTCCAGAAATGGCTGAACGTCATAATGCCCAATCGATTCTGCAGTTGTCCCGGAGTCTAGTCCTTCAGTTGCAGACCATCATTGAGAATAAGTAAGAAGGATAGGAGGAGCATGTCCTGGAGGAGGAGTGGACCGTACTTCCCGATCAGTATTGAGCATGAGATGTATCTACGAATTAGAGAGCACCTAGAGATCCATTTAGAAATCGCTTAGAGATACATGTCACCTGCACCCCTTAGAGAATGCAATTTTTAGAAGAGGCTCTTGCAGGAGTAGTTTTTTTTATAGGTTTTCTTAATTTTAATTTCAATTTTTTTATGTGGAAACGGCTGGGAATCGCTTAGAGAAACAAAATAAATAAAAAATAAATGAAATTTTAGGCAAAAATTTAAGGAAATTAAGGAAATTGTAGTGACCTGAGAAAACAAAAAGGAAATCGAACAACGTAACAGATACTATTTATACTTATACATTATACTATGTATCTATATATATATGGATATGGATATACCGATTATATAATATATATATACACTGTGAGAGAAAAACATAAATCCTTAAAAACGAAATCCCATATAGAGGCAGTTACAATTTATACGTTTTGTATAATCGATAAAGTTCGATAGAATCGATTTATGAAAGAGAGGATCTTGAGAAGAGGATCATGTATTGGATATTTGTATTAGATATCATCTATATACATATTTATATATTTATATGGATAGCAATGCTGTGCGGTTGCGAATGCAGCCAAAACTGTTGTTAATGTTATGTTATCGATTTGGCAATTAATCAGATATATATATTTAAAATATATATTATATACAAACACACACAAACACACACTCGGAGATATTCAATTGCAATTATTTTTTTTTTTTTAGCTTAAAGCAGTGGGAAAAGTCACTAGCCCAGCAGGTGGATCCTGTCAGGGCGTTATCTATATATTATAGATCCGACACAGGCATAATAAACTTAATAGAGTTGTGGTTTTCAGTTCAATTGGAATAAATAAAATATTAATATATATATTAAACAGCAAATATTTATAAATATATATATATATTATATACCCAAAGGAACATATATTATAGAGGGGAGAATGTGTTAACTGTATTGTTATAACCGCCACTGTTTATTCTGTCAAATCTCAGGCCAAGTTCTCGAGTTTCTATTGCCAATTTATTTTGTTCAGTGTTGTTTTTTTGGTAAGTGCAGGCGCACCAAAAAATCCCTCCACTGGGTCTACATACGACATGGCTATAATGCTATACACTATATATTATATACTATATTGTACGATATATAGAGCAGATATATCTAAGTTATTGCGAGTAGCACGCTTTTTGTGTATAGAAACGAAAAAAAAACCAGAAAACTAAAAACAAAAAAAACTTAATGTGATTTCTTGTTGCTTCTTTGAATATTGATATTTTTGTAAGCGCTAAAAAAAAAAAACAGTTTATATATATACACATAGAGAAACGAGTTGAGTTTTTGGCAGGCAACAGACCGTTAGAGAGAGATATAGAAGATATATTTTACACAAGGGCGATGGGGATCGGAGAGGAAAAAAGGAATATGAATTAGTCAAGTCCAAGCGAACATTTTTGGCCACACTTTTGATACACATATTCGAAAAAAACTATAAAAACTTGAAACTATAAAAAATAAATGAATTCACAGAAAATATTGGAGTACATTGGGCCATAAAGAACAACATAAAATTGTATCGTAATCAAGCTAAGCTAAAATATATATAATATTATATATATATATATATTTATATACCCGTCTGTGTAGAGACGCCACCTATAGAGCCCGAGCATATAGTATATTACGTTAAACCACGATTGTAACCACATATAGCATATTACATGAATATTACGGATATCCTATGTTCTGAGTGACACCAAAAAGAGTCCCATAAAATCAAAGGATACACATGACAAAAAAAAACCAGAGAGATCAATGTTTAATTTACTGAAGACATCAACATGAAAGCATGAAATAAAGAGGAATTATGTAAAATGTTTACAAGAAAATATGGCGTTTTTTTCTTATAGAGGGAGGTTATTTTTTAAATAGGAGTTTTGGAAAAAACAGATTATGAAGATAAATATTATATGCTTGGCTTAGATTTTTCTCATTTATTTCGTTACATTATTTTTTAAATAAAACATTATCCTAATCTTTTAATATTTTTTTTCAAAAAGGGGTTTTCTAAATAATTTGATCTGCAATAAAGAAATTTAAGGTTTAGAGATAGTTTCATATTTTGGTAAATACTATGTGCTTGGCCCATATAATTCTCAATTATTTAGTTAACTTTTTTTAGTTAATAGGAGGTTTTTTTTAAGAGATCTGAAACTAATAATATTTTATTTTCATATAACTTTTAACATGAGTACTTGTTTCTTTTCAGATTCACATTCAAAGACATTTTTTAAGGAGAAAAATGATAGTAATACTTTATTAAATAAATCTTAAAACGTTTTTCGTTTAATTTCATTTTAAATTTTGCTAAAATCTTTTTGATATCATCTCTTTATTTCAAGAAATGCAAGAGAATCCATACCCTATGCTTTTATTTTCTTAACACCAACAATCTCAGATTAAATCCATTTAAAAGCGAGTTAATCTAGGACTCGGAAATAATCATGCCACTGCCTCAGCCGTGGCAGCAGAGTGTCTGGGGCCGCTTTCGGGCCAAAAATTTCTCGTTTGCAAGCAGGGAAATTCCGTCTTTGGCCAGGCCAGCACTGGCATTTTGCTTGCACCTGAGACCCTAATTGAAAATATTTCGGTACACACGAAACCAGAGTGAGTAGGTTATGTCAAGCACCCTAATGGTTCTGTGCGGGGTCAGGGGCGGAGGGCGGCAAAGAGAAAGTGTGGAGTGGTCCCACTAAATGGGTGCGTGCCAAGAGAGGGAGCTTGTGGGGGGTGGCAGGTTACACGGCCAAAGCGCAAACTCCAAGGCGGCCACCAACGAATTACACCGAAATGTTTTCAGCCAAAAATTTGGGGCAGACTTGTGTGCATGCTGAGTGGTTGAGTTGGTTTTCTCCTTTGCTGTTGCTCCTTGTCTTCGACAGGAGGGGAGGCGAGCTACAGGGGGGGCTTTTAGGTGCAGGGGCAGAGGCGGGAGACTTGTGGTGGTGGTTGCCGCACAGCAGGGCGCCCCAGCATCCTGGCATCCTGGCACGCTGTCCTGTTGCTTGTGGCTGGATTTTGTGCTACGACGTCAGCAAACTGCCAACGTGAAGCCACCTCAATACAGACACAAAAAATACAGTCCGTGTGTTACTATAAGGCTCGCCAAAATACTAACACTCGATAAAAATTAAACTCTTAAAACGTAAAGTAAAGTTTAGTAATAATTGGAAAATAAATGTTTTTTAAAGTGCCACAGTATAAGAAAAAGTTTAATTTGGTCAAATTTTATTTAATTATTTAGTAAAAAATATATATTTACTAATTAAAATAATTAATTACATAAGGTTTTTATTGTTAAAAATATAATAAATAAGATTTCTATCAAGTTCACCAAGTTTTTAAAATATTTACTGTGAAAACAAATTCTATTGCCTACTTTTTTGGGCATGAACTTTATCTTTGAAACTCACCTCATAGCGGGTTTATAATTAAATTAAACAATTTATAACTGCTTTTAAGATGAAAAAAATCGATTTATAATATTAATTTAAACTCTCCATTCATATGTAAACCGTTTAATATTTAATATATTTCCAAAGAACAGAGGACCCTAACCCAGCACCCAGCATTGTCTCACTTGAAAGTGAGAGCGAATGAGATGGAAATGGCCAAGGAAACACTAAAACAAGAAAATGTAGCTTAACGTAACGGTACTCTGTTTAGGCAATAGTGGGCAAGGTAAGAAGGCAAGAGAACCCATCAACGCTTCATCTCTATCTTCCTCCAGCTGTTGGTGTTGCGTTCAAGAAAGTAATGCTGTTGCCTCCTGCTGATGTTATTACTACTGTTATTACTACTGCTGTTGCCTGTTACTGACTGTTAACTCTTAACAATGTTAAATTGTTGTTGTTTTCACCTTTGCAGTTGTGGTGGTAGTAGAGATGTGTATGTGGGCATGAGAAGCGATCTATCAAACTTTAAATCTTATATAACTTATTATTTAATTTCTATGATAATTTTTTAAATTACTTGTACAAAATATAACTTTTTATCACTTACGCTGCCCTGACTGCCCAGCTCATCACTAGTGACCGCCATTTGTTGTTGTAACTGTGCTGCTCCTGTTACTGCTGTTACTGTTATCGCGGTCTGTTATGGCCTTTCGCTCTGTGTTACAGTATCGGTGTATGTCAGTTCTGGCGCCTGTATGCGTGTCGGTGTGTCGTTGTGTTAGTGGCTGTGGCTGCTTCTGCTCCTGCTGCTGCTGCTGCCTCCATTTCGGCTTCCATTTCAGTTTCAGTTTCAGTTTCGCAGCGAAGTTGGTCGCGTGCACACACGCTTTTCTTAGAAAAAATCAACTTTGCCCAAAAAGCACTCGAAAACTTGTTGTTTTTTTTCCTGTGTTATTATTTGTGTGCTTGAGTGTGTGTGTGAGCTACGGTTCAGTCGGTCAGTGAGTTAGTCAATGATGGAAGGAAAGCCCGTCACTGACAGCGCCACAGTCACCCCGGCGGCATCCAAATTATTTATAAAGGACAGCAACTAGTTCCTTCAAAAAAAAAAAAAAAAGACAATATCCAAGACAAGTAGGAAGCGGAGCGTAAAGAAAAAAAAAAAATTTATAAAAGAGGCTGCCACAGGCGACACTTTGCTCTCTGTCAGCACTGCTGCCTTCTGCTAGCTGTGCTGCCGGGCGCTGTTGCCAGCGTAAGCGTTAGCGTCAGCGTCAGCGTCAGCGAAAACACTCGGCATACGCAAAACAAATACAAATTTTCGAAATACATTTTACGCGCCCGTGTGCGCGTATGTGTCTGTTAATGCTCGCCCTGTGTGCGTCTGTCTGTGTGGCTGCCTGAGTCTGTCTGTCTGCGTCTGCCAGTGTAAGTGTGTGTGAGTGAGTGTGTGTAAGCGTGCTTTAGTAAGCGTGCGAACGGTACGAGGAACGGAATTACGGTGAAAAGCTTTGGGCAATCTCCGCAAGCCCAAAACACACACCCACGCGCGCAAAACAACAAAAAAAAACGCAAACGAAACGGAACGAGCCAGCGAGCTCACAAAAAACACACACGCGTAGATATACTAAGGACACGACATTAAAATGGTGCAAACCACTGCAGGTAATAAAAGTGATCCCTGTTCCTTTGCTCTTCCCACACCTGCCCTCCAGCAGGTCTAACGGTATCCGCACCTCTCTTCCTTAAAAAAAACCGACAAAAAACATCTACCACAACGTCTCCATTAAAATGCACACTAGGGTGGACCTTGGCGGGATCTTAATTATTTATGAAAAGGAAATAGGGAAGCTTTTTATAGAAGTTATTTTAGTGCTTCAAAAATGTACATATTTCTTTTTTTAATTTTTTGTTATAACTAACTATTTTGAGCTATTTATATTCTTATTTTTAAGTTACTATTTTGTGTTAAATTAAATTTTTTTGAAAAATTGTTGAAAAAAATAAACCACTCTTTGTGTTATTTATATAATTTGTAAGCTAATCTTTTTCTATAAAATCATAGGAATATTATTATACTAAGAAGTGAGAAATAAAATTTTAAAGACCCTGCAACAGGTCGTATGCGTAATATCAACATATTTAACAAATATAATAGAAAGCCAAGGAAAATCTCCAACTATTACGACCTTTTTATGAATGTTCTCTTGAACACAAATTAGGAATATTATGAACTGCCCTTATGGCTCGTAAAACAAGTCACCCCTGCGTATGCGTAATATAAATAAAAAAAAAATGGCGGACAAAATCAAATAACTCTTTATTAAAAAAAAACCATAAAAATAAATTGTTGATTTTTGTTTTTGAAACAAATCTTAAAACAATATTTCAAATATTAAAACATTGACTACAACTCTGATAACAGTGCGTATACGTGATATTTGTTTATTGACAATCAAAATGGCGCTAAAGTTGTAGATGAATCCGCCACAATTCTTACACACTGACACACACATATACACTTATTTGATGCGTAGTTATGGCAACAGTAATCGTGAATAACGGTTCACCCCAAATAACTTTGCTATGAAGCAGTGCACACGTGGATAAGCCAGATAATGGCTGCATTCGGGCGTCGTTTTTCATATTTTACCAGGAATTTCGTGACTCTGCCAGCTTTCTGAGGCTAAAAGCGATTAAAAGAAGCGTTGAAAGCTTCTCCAATCATAATACATAATACATTATATGTACATATTTATGTATGCTTTATTAGTATTCAGGTGTGCGGGTGCCGAGTGTTTTGCCAGGTGGGCTGGATTTACTGTCTATGCTGGATGCACTTTCCGGTAATCCTTGGCCATCAATGCAACACAACGCACCAAACACTTTCAAGGACATTATTCTAGTGGATGATTGGTTCTTTTCAATGGCTTAATCTTCTTAGTTGGAGGTATTTCTGAATAAATACCTAAAGAATTAGGGTCAAAAAAAGGCTTTAACGCGGTATCGAATAAAAGTATAGAAATTCTTAATAAGAGGTTATTTAGAGGAAAAATAAGGTATATTTTATTTCCTAATATGTATTATATAATAATTTTTTCTATCTTAATAATAAGTGTGCCTCTTTTTGGCCAGATTATACTTTGTTTGGCAAAATTGTTTCATTAAAAGGCTAAAAAGTACTGAATATCGTCCCAGGTACCAGGTAACATCAGTAACTACACCTGTACTCTATAACTTCATCATACTTTTTTTAAGGTTTGATAGTATTGGGTATTATATAGTTTTCTTTAAAGAAAAGTATCAGGTTTAGTTTTTGGAAAAAGATACATTCTTGTACAGAATATTCCTTTGGTGGTAAAGCCAACTTTGCTACTCATAAAACAACCTAAAGTACCAGATATTCTAGTCGAATAACTGTACTCCCCACCACTTTCTTTATTGCTTTATCATCTTATTTCTTTACAAAATACTTCGCCTGTTTGATTGAAAAAGGCTCAAAAGTACATGGTATAATATAGTCTTCTTAAAAGACGTACCTGAAAAGCTTAAAAACCGTTAATTTATTCGTGATAAAACTTCTGTTACCTTTAAAAAACGTAAAAGTACTGGGTATCCTTTAAAACAAAAGGACCTAGTACGGTAAAGTACTGGTATTGAATAGGATCATGTATAGTCCGTGTAGTGATCGAATAATAGTATATTCTTTCGTGATAAACTAACAAAACAAATACCAAATAGTACCGGGTATTATATAGTCGAATAACTACACTCCACTCCACCGCCTCCATAGCTTATCATCTTTTTTCTTTGCTCACTTTATCGCCTGTTTGCATTCGGGATAATCTTCACTGACAGTCGAGGGATGGGATATTTTAATCAAGGCCATTGTTACAGAGATAGTTTTTATAGACGTACTGCCTTGAATTCCTAATTGATTTTCTTGCAAAGCCCCGATTGATGCGACCCTGGTCTCTTGAGCTCTTCAGCCCAACAGGTGGAATTCAGAAGGGGTCTAAAGATTTCTTGTCTTATGACTTATTCCGATCAAGGCCCCTTAAAGTTTAATGAGATGGTACTTGCTACAGCCTCTACAAAGAGCCTTAGACAGGCCTACACTAGAAAGGCTAGAATTCAGGCTGCACTCCGTAATATCCCGGGGCTCTCGGGGGGAAGATGGGGTGTGTCTCCCTGACCTGACACTGACTGATGGCCCCGGATACGGGGCCCGGACAACGACGGGCGATGGGAGGACGGCAGTTTGATGACCGCCATGGGGGCGGACGTAAAACTTTTATGAATGAAAATGTAGACGATTGGCATCGCATCGCATCGATGTGGTCTGCGTGTGGCAGCGAAAATACGGCGGAAACGGGAGTGCCTTTGCCGTGTCCTTAGCTGTAGTCGTAACTGTAGCTGTAGCCGTATAGCGATACAAGTCGATAGTCGTCCTGTGCCAGTGGCCGTACAATGTCAAGTCAAGGCGGGGGCGTTTGTTTATGTTTTACTTTTGGCTCCGGTTGCTATTGCCATTTTCCAGCGACCGTCCTTGGGCCGAGCTCTGCTCCTATAATGGCCGGAAATTGGCTGTCTCTGAATGGATGGCTTTGGATTTCGCGTTGACTTTGGCTTTGGCTTTGGCGGCTTTGTGGCTGCCACACAGCTGATGCAGCCCACTAATACAAAAACAAACAAGCACAGTGGCAGTGCCACACAGTCGTAGTCCCACCACACCCACATATGCCACGGCAGGCCAAGTCATGCCACACCACACCACACCACACCATACCATACCATGCCACCCACTCGATGACGTGTCGACATATCAACTAGTGCCGATGATGACTGTGACGATGATGGCGAGCTTGATGATGATGTGGCCATCATCAAATGCTCAATTATGGCATTAGCTAAAAGCCAAGAGCCGAGCACTCTGAGCCCGGGTCTCAACCGGGCCTCGATGCGATTGACTTGGCTACAAGTGCTCGGCCCCCAATGTCAACCAGGCTGAACCAGAGTTCAAATGCCATCCTTGTTTTCTAGGGGGATTTTTATTATTTTTATTTATTTGTTTATATATTTGTTTGAGTCTTGAAGGAGATATTTAAAGGATTGGTTATTATATTTAATAGATGTTTTGTGTTTTAAGTGGGTTATTGGTCAGAATAATTTGGTATTTTGGGTAGAAGACAGTTTTTGACAGTTTTCTTTTAAATTTTAAGTCTTTTAAAGAGCATTATATTGGGACATTATTATTATTATTTTTTCCTAGTGTTTTTTAATTTTTAACAATCTAACATATTTTTATTATATTCCAGTTATTTTTTTATATTGATTAAAACACTTTCTTTTCTTTCATCTATTGAGTTGCCTACAAGTATGTTACAACTTTGAAATATTTCTGTAAACGTTACCCATACGCAGTGTAGGCATAGGGCTTGTTCTTATCTTGCTTTTTCTGGTATATCGTTTATTGAAAACTCTTTTAAAAAATGTTAAAATTTAAATGTAAATAATATTAAATTAATATTAATAAATAACCATATTTCTTAAGACATTACATATTTTAATTTCTCAAGACATTCGATTTATAGTACTATTTCTAGTTGTATTTCTATTGCGTCGCATAAACACAGTATTTGTAGACATACTTCTTCACTTGCATACTATATACTAAAGTTATCAGAGATAACGGTATGATATGGAGAAATTCATACTAGATGACAAACGTCATTTCAAAACGAACTATTTTTTATTATTGGCAATAGAATTATTGCCATAGTTATTAGAACTAATAACCAAGCCATTAGATGATTCGGTTGATTAAATTGGCCTAATATAGCATATATAGCTATACTCAACAATGTAATGGCCAATCTAATACATACTATAACCTATACATATATACATATACATATAACAGAACAAACGGAAATAATTCCACTTTTGGGTTTTTAAAGATAGAATAAGATTGGATATATTTAAAAATTTGTATAAAAATAATGAAATTGATAATGAATAATATTTTATAATGAAATTCTCATAAGGATGCGCCAACTACATCCGATCTTGGCGATAAATATATATTCGATTTTAGCTGCAGGGGTACATCAACTTTAACCTTTCCTTTCTTGTTCTACCCGTTACTCGTACAGAAAAATGGTATATCGAATTCGAGTGCATATATATACGATATTTGATCTTGAAGCCTAGCCTATTTATATTTCGGCTCTCATACTAACCTTCAACAATTTTGAACGCGTGGGTCTCGGGGACTATAAAAGTTTGAACTATCCGATTTAGAACATGGAATTCTATAGAAACCACTTAGATCCTGCTCCAAACAGGTGTAAATAAGCCTTTTTAGGTGTAAATATGCCATTGGAACAGTTTGGCGTCAAAAAATGTTCCAACAAAAAAGGAAAGCTACCTTCGGGCCCTTTGCAGTTAAAACCGGTTATGTATCGCAAAATTCGGATATATTTGGCCAATATTTATGAGAATATTATAATATAACCAATTCATTACAATAAAAAATCTAAAAAAAAGTCCCAAACTTCTATCTTCAAGAACACCAATGTTGGAATTTTTACCAAATACCATTTCCGATCGTTCATTTATATGGCAGCTATAATATATAGTCAGATATATATAATTTCATCGTTTTGAATTTTGGATCGTGGATCGTATTATTTATAACTCTAAAAACACCAATGTTATAGCATTTCCCATCAATTAGTTATATGACAGCTATAGAATATAGTCGGCCGATCACGGCCGTTCTGAATTACGTACTGCGTGCATCAGGAGGTGATCCTGATCAAGAATATATATACTTCTGTATGAATATAAAAGAAAATATACTTTTGGACAATATTATAATACCCTACAAGGGTATAAAAACAGATTTATGTTTTGGGGGCGGAAGTGGGCGTGGAAAAATTTTGAAACAAACTTGAACTGGGTGAGCATTGTAGGAGTTTCCATGCCAAATCCTATAGGTATGTCTCTGAGATCCACTCGGTCCTACGGGTAGACGCTATAGTATATCGACTATAACGAATATTGCGTTGACTATAGTACATATATCCACTCGGCTGTTGAGTCAAGCTGTTGAGCTGATCAAGAATATATGTACCTAATTTATACTTTAATTTACGAGCTCTTATTAGATAGCAAATTCGATGACACACCACGAATTGCATTGACCACAATCACGTATAAATAGCAAATGAAAATTAGTGCCTGGCTCAGTACTTACCTACTTTGCCATGGGATCTCCACTAGTTTGGTTGCTGCTCGTAGCCGTCTGCACGGTGTCCTTCCTGGGAGAATCAAGTGCGGTCTGCTGTACCGACAACATGACCATCAAATTTTGGGTCAAAAACAATAATTGTGGCGCTCTTAATGCCAAAAAAGTTTCTGGCGGTTTCTGTCAGATGACAATTTGTGGCGACGGAGAACGGCTCGTTGGCTATTATTGTGGAAAAGGGCCGTGCAACATTTTTGGATGCGCTTGCGAAGGCGGCTGCCGGCATGGAAACTGGGTTGAGTCCTTTTTGGCCCGGAACAGGCGTCACGAAGTTTCGGTAATGGATGCATCCGGATCAAACGAAATGAGTCCTGGATTAGATGGTGCCATATCGGGCATAACAGCGCCGTACAAGTAAATAAGTTTTCACTGTTTTTATACTCTTGCAGAGGGTACATATATTAATTTTGGCCAAAGTTACTTTTGTTGTTGTCAATATATTCGCCAACAAAAATAAAATATATTTGATATTTGCGCAACAAATTTTATTTTCTTTCATACTGATTTTTTTTTTTATATTTTCTCTAATATAAATTTTAAATTTCGATTTTTCCAACAACAACAAAAACACATTTCAAGTAATTTCTAGCACTTATTTGAGTAAAGTTCATAGGTTTATGTCTAATTATTTTCCATCCAAATAGAGCCACAAAAGTCTCGCTTTGGGGCCACCTTAAAGCCATCAGCCTGAGCACTTAACGCCCCGTTGACAGTTACAGAGTTACAGAGGTCAAATGGAAAGCCAGGCATGTGTGTGAACGTGTGTGAGTGTAGGGACACGTGTGTGCTAGAGTACTGGCCATAAAGTACTGCCAATACTTCTCAGGGAGTTACTTTATGGGCCAGACTAAGAAAACCAAAGTCAAAGAAGGTTCAGCATAAAAAATATTAAATTTAATTTATTTCATGATAAAAATTTAACAAAAATTTATTTTTTCATTAAAAAATACGTAATTTTTAAGAGGTATTTAGATGGCTTGTCGAGAATGAAAAGAAGTCTGGTTCAAAGCTCACGACAAAGCCATCAAAGTGTGGGCTTACTGTCAGCGGCAGAGTCGTTATCCTGTCATGTGTATGCAGCAGTGTATGTGCGTATGTCCTGTTCGTCCTGTCAGAGCCATTAATATTAAGCCCAGTCAGCCCAGTGTAGCCCAGTTGGCTGGTCTCCTTCAAAATTAAAAATCCACTGTCTGGTCATCATTAATTTTGCGTCCAACCCGACGCATGTCAGCATTTTGCACGTCCTTTTCGCCTTTAATCCATTGCTCCTTGACTCCTTCTTATCCATCGTGTGTCCCTTTTTTTTGCCCAACATCCGAAGGATATCAAAGGAAACATTCCAAAATGTCAATCAAAGCCTTTGAGAAAGAAATCGCATTGTTGGGCATCCTTTTTTTTTTGCAACCTGATAGTTGGCAAAAATTCAATAGAAATTTTTTAGAAAATGAAAAATAAGGAAGAGTTGGTTGGTTGCAGGATATGTTACTGCATAATTCTGCAATAAGGAAGGAAAATATTGAAAACTGGGGAGAATGGCCACAGGACAGTGGCTTTGAGTATCCTTTCTAGTGGAATTCCTTATTCCGCCCAATGCCGTGGGCAAATGCAATTTGTTGGTTTTTGCAATTAAAATTATATGGCGACCCCAGAGGCAGTAGCAGTGCCACCGACAGCAACAGCAGCTTCCCCTTGACCTCTGAACTTTGCGTTAATTCCTTCATTCTGTGGGTGGATGGGGGAAAAAAAAAACGTTGCAAGGGTCCTGGACCTGGATGCAGACCCTAGATCCCGGTTGTCCTGGCAATAGGAAAAGCAAAGCAGGACTCCGTGTCCGGGTTATTTAAGCAGCTTTTCGCCGGAAAACTCGGTGAAATGTGAAATGCGAATCACAAAACAAACAGAAACAGCAACAGAACCATAACCAGAGTGAAGAAATCTCCGTTTAGATATTAAAATAGCAATTGCAATATGCCAGATAGTCTGGGAAAAACAAACAAAAACAGAAACCGGCTCAAATACGCCCACTGAATGGCTAATTAAGCCCGGCAAACAGTGTCCCATTTCGAAACGCATCAAATGCAGTTCCCGACCGAAATGTCAAAGGGCATCCTGCTGGTCTGTTGCATCCGTGGGTGCTACTTTGGAATTAAACGGGGTGGAAGATTGGAGACTGCCCGGTCTCATGATGAATTGAATTGTCCATCCCACAACACCTCCCCCCCACCATATCTGACCTTTACCAGTTCGACCTTTCACGCTTTGATTTAATTCATACATACGTTCATGCTTAATTCGCTCGTGAGAGAATCTCCTCATTTTTTGTGTGCGTTTTTTTATGGAAAGAGTGCCTCTTTGGTGGCAGCGGCATGCAAATTCCTTTTTCCACTTCAATTCAATTTTATTTCCAATCTAATTTGCTTTTAAAAGGCTTCCACAAAGCCAGATGTTTCTGAAAAGGGTAAAGGTTATAGTTTCAAATCGCTTAATGGATGGTTTATAGATTAAAGGATTTAGATTTAAAATTAGTTAGTTTCATACTTTCATGAGTTTTACTAGTAGTCTCTTCAAAAAGTAAGATATCTTCAAGCTAAGAAATTTGTGGGGCTGACTAGGCGTATACGCAATATTAAGTATACGCCTTGGTGTACCAATTTTGGCCAGAAACGTTTATTTTGGCAATTATTTTTAACAATTATTATTTATTATATAATTTTCTTTAAAAAGCCAGCATATCTTAGTAGGAAATTTTTTAGGGCTTACTAGGCGCATACGCAATATTAAGTATACGCCTTGAGATCCCAGATTTATTTCCATAAGTTGAATTTTGCAAATAAATTACTTGAAAATATTTAATGTTGAAACCTAAATTAATTATTTTTCTAATCTAGAAAAGAGAAGATTTAAATTTTTAATTTATGGAATTTCTCAGAGTGCATCCTTCGTGCTTATCTCTTGTTTTAAGTTGGTTTACGCAGAACAATTCCCTTAATTGATATTGGTTTTTGATTGCAACTTGCTTTACTGAGATTGGACTCCCCACTTGTCTCAACTTGAAGACAAATTTGTTTGCTAGACAAATTCTTTGTTGAAAATCAATTAACAAAGAAAAGTCGGGCATAGCAAAGGCAATTATATTTCTTTAGAATTCCACTTGAATTCCAAAGCCCTTAAGAAAACGACACTTTGTTTTGAATTCCGAAATTGTCGCTCCCAGGAACGCAGCATATTACGGAACGGTGACAATTATTTTTGTCTTTTATTTCACACCGACTTTATAAAAGTGATAAGCCAATAGAAAAGGGTATTAGGACCTAGCGTTTGAAGAGGAAAATATTATAAATTTATTCTTTAATATTAAAATGTTTATATTTTATAAAAACTTAAGTTGTAATGTGGAAGTATAACTCTATTTTTAAACTTCATTATCTAATCTAAAGCTGTCTAAAAATATTTTAGTTTTTAGGGACAATTATTGGTTTTCAATAAAATGTGTCCTTTCAGACAAGTTTGCAACTTCGATTACCCTTACCCTTTAATTTTTGGTATTTATTCCGGTCGAGGAATCCTGTTGATTTTTTTACTTAGGTCTGGCTGGGGTCTCAAGCAGACAGACAGAACAAAAAAAACCAAAACAAAAAAAAACTCAAACACTAACATGTTAATGCCGTTTGCGTGTTAGGGCCAAGCACACACTCTCAAACACAAACACAACCCCAAACACCATTTGTACAATACATTAGACTGTAATTAATGTCGCAGCTTGGCCCAGCCCACACTAGTATACCCATATACCGACAAATATATTTATATATACTCATATGTATAATGCCCACATGTATATCTATTTAGTTATCTGTTTATGCGGGTCCTTATACAGTTCTATCTGCGAGATAGCAGAAACCACAAAAACACAAACAAAACAAAACTTTGTCACGCACCACAACAACAACAACGCAACAGAAAATACACAAAAAGCAACAGATGTAGAACCGATAGACAGTAACATAATGGGGCAAGGCACTGAAAAAAATAGGGCATATGGGAAATGGATTGGTGTCTACCATCACTGGATTTCATGAGAGTATTCATTTGTTAGAAAGTGCAATCGGTTGAGTCCAATAAAGAACTCGTTGTAAAACACAGTTCCGACTTTGCCGAAACCACGTTCTGATCCCAACGCGGCAGAAATAAAGAAAATCGCTGAAATGAGGGCCACTGTGAGAATCATCTTGTACTTTTGCAATAGAAAGGAACTTTCTTCTGAAAAAATCACCGGAAATATTTAAACTGCTGCTGCGAGTATTGAAGCTCTGGCTTTTAAAATTATGCTCATCGTTTGAGCTTAAAATTAAGCTTCTGTTATGTTTCTGATAAGAAGAAACGTCTTCAGGCGAATGCTGTCTACAGAATTTGGCAATGGGGTACTGGGTCACACGTGTGGCACCATAAGAGAAAACCAAAATAAATCTTCCACAGAAAGAAGGCGTATGGATTTCAAAGGTTATTAGAGATTAGAAAGATTGTGATTAGCAACAAGAACTGGTTTAGTTACTTCTTCTATATATATATTAAGGTTATATGTATACATATGTGTGTATGGCAATAAATTATTTATATTTTCAATACTTTATTAGTTATATGTTGTGATATACGTATGTTCCTCTAGTGGAAAGAACTTTTCAAATAGATTTTAATGACGTAATAGTTCCTTATCTTGTGTAAAATGTAAATGAAATTAGAAGAATTAGAAAAGATTTAAATTTATATATATATTAAAGATTTTTACAAAAAACTATCTTTAAAACAATTATGTTTATAATTTAAGCAAATTTTAATTGAAATTTAGTCTCTATCTTTTAAAATTTGAGAAAAAGTATCTATAAACTTTATGATAAAATATACTATTTATTTCCAGTGTATTACCAGATGTTTGTAGTAGATTTGTCTCCCATTTCGTTTTGTTTTTGTGTTTTTTTTTTTTTTTTGCAAAACTTGTCCTGTTGTTTGGTCTTTTGCCATTGCCTTTTTGTAATTAAGTATTTATCTTAATTCCATAAAAATAGTTGTCATTTTGATAAACTCACAGATACATTATGAGCCAGCTACAGATACGTGTTTGGGGGGATCTGTAAAGCAAAGCCAGATGACACACAAATATCTCTGAAAATCAATTTCGAAATAAGAGCCTTTTGCGCTACATAACATTTTAAAAAAGACCATAACTTTTTATAAAAAAGCCATTAAAGCTAAGGCCATTAAAAGGCTATAAAATCGAAATTAAAGGAAGTCTGAAATCTGGAATCTAAATCTGAAGCCACCTTTGGGTTATAAATATGGCCAAGTGGGGATTTTAAGAGGGGTTTTGGGGTTTTTTTTTTTTTTTGGAAGGGCAACCTGGGCAACAATCCGGTCCAACGAACAAAACGAGAGAAGGCTCTGATGAAAATAGAAAATGGTATTTTATTTAAAATGCTTTGCGGCTAGGAAAAGCCTTCGCTATCGCCATTTTCCTCAATTTTCCGCTCCCCTTAATTAAGGTCCAAAAATGGCCAAAATGGTTGAGTGGTTGAATGTGTGTGTGTGTGTGTTGGCTGTGTGTGTGTGTGTTTTAGGTCGAAATGGTTATTGAGCCTGTTTAAGCCATCAATTGCCATTTCTGTGGGACCAAATGAATTTACGATTACAGGAAGAGAGGACAAGGACTTCGCTCCTACTCACAGTAAGGATTCCCCATTGTGACCCCTCATCCTCATGCCCTCCACTCCACTCCTCCTCCCTCAAATCCCTGAACTTGGCAGAAACTGAAATTGATTTTCCACCGAAGCAGAATTCTCTCCATTGATTGTTTGGGGGGATAATTGATAAAGTTACTTGTGGAGCTTCACTTTACTTCTTTAAAAGGTAAACTCTGGTACACTGTTTCTGTTTATTTTTTTGAGAATTGATTAATGCTGAACAAATTCAAGTTTATTTGCCATTTAATTAGCTTAGTTTCTTTAAGGTCTTATAATTAATCTTTTTTTTAAGTTAGATATTGATATTGAATTGATATTGGTTTTGGATTGTCGCACAAAGCCTAGGCAATTATACTTTTTCTTTTTAATTAAAAGACCAACTTGAAATGCAGTTTCCTAGATTCAAGTCGCTCTAAAGAACATAAAATATTCTCACATTTAGACATATTATTAACACAAATATTATATTAACAAAAATAAACATCTATCTTGAGAAAATATTAGCCTTTAAACATAGTTTCTCAACTTTTAGTACAAAATTTCTTGACGATTAAAAGTTAAAAGTTATGTTTAAATTTTAAAAGAAGTTGCTTCCCTTAAGTAATGGGCTTCTCTCAAACCTTTATAGAATACCTTTATTCCTTTTCTTTCCTTTATTTATATAGAATTAAAAAACAAATTTTTTGGGAAACAAATTTCCACCTGATCACCTTGCCTTATATAGGCTCATCCAGAACCGGTTGCGAATTATAACAAAATGGTATTTTTTTGGGAAAATATTTTTTGGTTGCAAAATACTATTCAAAGGCTAATATTAAGTTTGCAATGATGTTAATGTTCATAGTAACGGTAAATAAAATCGAAATAATTGAAAACTTGAAAATCGGTAGGACAATATGTTTTTGTTTTTATACCCTTGCAGAGGGTATTATAATTTTGGTCAAAAGTGTGCAACGCAGTGAAGGAGACATCTCCGACTCTATAAAGTATATATATTCTTGATCAGGATCACCTCCTGAGTTGATATGAGCATGTCCGTCTGTCCGTCTGTCCGTCTGTCCGTCTGTCTGTCCGTCTGTCTGTCCGTCTGTCTGTTTCTACGCGAACTAGTCTCTCAGTTTTAAAGCTATCGTCTTGAAACTTTGCACACACCCTTCTTTCCTTTGCACGCAGTATATAAGTCGGAACGGCCCGGATCGGCCGACTATATCCTATAGCTGCCATATAACTGATTGATTGGAAATGGTATAACTTTGGTGTTTTTAGAGTTAGAGAGTTCAAATTTTACATGAAAGCTATTTTTGGCAAAATAATACGACATGCCAAATTTCATAAGGATCGGCCGACTATATCCTATAGCTGCCATATAGCTGAACGATCGGAAATGACCCAACTTTCGTGTTTTTGAAGATAGAAAGCTGGAACTTAGTACAGATTTAATTCTTGGTCAGTTGATCCAACCTACCAAATTTCATTAGGATCGGCCGACTATATCCCATAGCTGCCATATAACTGAACGATCGGAAATGGTATTTGGTAGAAATATCAACTTTCGTATTTTTGAAGATAGAAGTTTGGGACTTTTTTTAGATTTTGTATTGTAATAAATTGGATTATATATTCCAATTCCCATAAGGATCGGCCAACTATATCCGATGTTTGCGATATATATCCGGTTTTAACTGCAAGGGTATATAAACTTCGGCTCCGCCCGAAGTTAGCTTTCCTTTCTTGTTTATATTGAGAATAATGGTTTAATTTCAGAGTTAGGGGTAGGAATTAGTTAAAAACTTAAAGCTTATACTATTAGCTTGCTACGAAAGTTAAAAAATTAATAAACTAAAGACACAAAACAAAACAAAATATTCCAATCAGGAATAAATAAAATATAATCATGAGAGCTACAGAAATTGCTATACGGATTGATGAAACTTAAAAATTGAAAACAGTTGGAAATAAAATTAAAATACTTGAAAATTTTCTACAAACGAAATCTCTCTCTCGGAATCTCATTCGAAATTTCTCATTTATTACTGAAGTCGAAGTCCTGGTGCTGGCTGTTGCAGAAAGTAAACTGATGATGCTTTAAGGAATCGGTTTTATGGCTTCCTTTTCTGCTACCTTTTCAGCCTTTCCGGTGGCCGAATGGCCCGGACTGGTGTTATTACGGTTACGGGTGTGCTGCGTTGACCTACAGCATTCGAATCCCAATGGGATAATCGGCCAGGCCAGGACCAAGACCAAGACCAAGACCAAGACCGAGACCATCAAGCTCGCATCAAGGTCGCTGTGGAGGTGAACTGATGTCCCCCAGGTCCCACTGTGATTCGCCTTCTGTGTTATCCTGTTGCCTGGCCATTGATGATGATGATGTGCCGGTCACTGCCGGACGAATCCCAAAGGGTTTCTCCTAACTTTATTTCGTGGTCAGTGCCAATGTGATTAAAGCCAGTTGCCAACCGCAGGATAAACAAGGATGCTTGCAGTTGGGGGTTTTATAGAGGAAGATATCTTATAGAGAGTTTATAGATATAAGATATTTATTTAGTTTTTAAATAAAAGGGACAAAAGCTTTACTTTTAAACTTGCTAGAAAGAGCAGATGGTTTTTTTATATTCTTCTTAATTTTTTGTAATACACATATAATATATTTTTAATATATATTCTTTTTCTTAATATCCTCTCTTCTCTATGTTTTTTGCAAACCATAATTTATCCGTACATTTTATTTTATTTACTTTCCTCTGACATTGTCAACACAACAGGCCAGGCAAACAAATAAATACAAAAATCAGGAAAAAGTAAATAGCAAATGGTAAATGGTAACTGAGAGAGAAACTTTCTCCATGCCTGGCCGCTCCATGGCCTTCCCTGGCGACTGCCTTTCCCCATCGCCTCCACCCACCCTACACTTTCTTTCTGATTATCAAGTCCTGCATATATTTGCATTTTCCGGCTGAAGCCAAAGTCCCGCCGCTTATGCCACTGAAAATTAAGTTATTAAAACTTGTTGCCATGGCCTCAATAGCGAGCATTTAAATGCTAATTACAAAAAAAGGATATAAAGGACATGAAGCACCACGAGGGCGAGAAAAAGTGCAGACAAGAGACCCATAACCACACCAACACCATGAATAGGGTGCAACAAAAGAGCAGCAATTAAAACGGGGCAACCGTATTTGTTTTTTTTTTTTTGTTTTTTTTTCAAACCGGCCAGCCAGGACTTCCAAGGACACTGCCTGGCGACAACTCGGTCGGCGGTTCAGACGCCAGGCACTTTGTTGTCGCCACAGCACCCTCGCCCCTTATGCATAGTATGTAGAATGGGGAGAGGAAAAACCAGGCCAGGAGCATAATGAACTCATCCTGGCCCAGCTGGCGGCTTTGGGCCATCAAGCTGCCAGTGGGAAGTGCAGGCTGGTCTGTTCGGTCTGTACGGTCCATCCGGCAGGGGGAAACCCTAAAAACCAATATATATTCCATCGTCAAATCATTAACGATTTATCGGGTATTCCATTAGTTTTCTTCTTGTTTTCTTTACGATCTTTAATAAAGAAGTATGCTGGCAAGTGGGCGTTTTTATGAGGGCTTATTAGTAGCAAGTTAAAGGTCATATAATTATTATAATTATTAGTCTTTTAAGACTTACATAGTACTTCTTATATCAACAGATTCTGATGGAGAACGAAGGAAATATATCCAGATCTAGTAAATATATCTGGTAAATATTGTACATAAGTATAAAGATATTGGGATAGCAGATAAAGCTATAAAGATAGCATGTAGATGTACTATAAGGTACTATAAGTATTTTCATTTTTAAAGGGCTCCTTTGCGAATCATCCTGAAAATCAAAAATTGTTCCGACCTTGTCCAACTTTTTCCAGTAAAAACTATTATTTGCCATTAAGTTTTACAAATTTTATTTAAAATTTTAAAGTTATCCAAGTATTTTCTTTATAATTTGAAAAATAAAATAATTTCATTTTAATGCAAATTTTTAATCTATAGATTTTCTTGAAATGCTCCCTTTTCCAAGGCCGTTTTAGTTTCATCTCTGTCCGGTTTGTTTTCTTCAATCTTTTCTTCGAATGTACACTCTTATGAAATCGTAGTCGTCCCTTATGTACCAAAGATATGAAATGATGAATCAATGAAAAAATAGAATTAAAAAAAAAATATTTGAAAAAAAGGAAAAGAAAAAGAAAATTGGAATACCCACCTGATGTTACTCATACTAGGATCGAACCACCAGCCAAAGCCCACTTCCTGGGCCAAATTACGATCAGGAAATCCATCCTCGTCTCGATCAAAGGTGGAAAATGTGGAGCCCTGCTTAGGGAACAACACATTGGCGTTTCCAGTACAATTGCCAATACTTTTCAGCATATATCCTTCGTTTTGACTGCCCAAAACAAAGTGGTTGCATATTTTCCTATTAAATGCATTGGTGTCTACCATCACTTCATGGGGTTTTCCATTCATCAGTAGGTGCAGGTTTTTGAGGCCAATGAAGAACTCATCCCTTATATCAGTTCCGACAATTCCAAGTCCACGTTCATAATCCTCATACGTGCGATTGAATATTTTTGAAGAATCACGTTTATTATAAACTCTCATCCATTTAGATCCATAATCCTGGTATGAACAACAAAGAACTCTAAACGGGTCTGTGCCTGGAATGTGGATCTCGCGGAGGTCGTGGTAGGCTGCTATTGGGTATCGTTTTTTTACCCAATGCTGTCTTTGTGGACAAGGATCCACTGTCCTCATTTGATTCTTCGAGTTGGAGGTGTCCGAGAGGTGGAAGGACTGTGGAATTTGAATCAAAATTAATTTTCAAAATAAAAACACTTTAAACGGCTATTACCTCTTCTGATCCCCACGCGGCAGAAATATAGAAAATTGCTGAAATGAGGGCCACTGGGAGAATCATCTTGTACTTTTGGGATCAAACGGAACACTCTTCTGAAAGAATCACCGAAAATATTTCAACTGATGCTGCGAATTTCGAAGCTCTGCCTTTTTAAGGCCATTCTCGGTCTTGAGCTTGAGCTTCCGAGGTTCTGATAAGGAATTGTGAAATACGCAAACATATAGAGAAACCAAAATATTCTTCAGACAGAATGTGCGTGATGGGGTGCCAGACGGTATTAGAGATTACAGAGAGGTGATTAGCAATAAGAACTGGTTTATGTTGCTAATCTTATATTTTCATTTATTTGTTATTTACATATTATTATATATACTATATTCCCCTTTACTAGTACTTTTCAAAAAATATTTCAATGACGCAATAATGTCTTATCTTTAAAAAATGAATGTCACGCTTAAGAAGGTCTTCTAGTCTTAACATTAAAGAATACTATACATTATTTTAATAATTCTTTTAATCGAAATTATAATAATTTTAAAGACAGAGTTTGAAGGTAACATGCCAGCGCGCAAAGAGGTTGTATGTATGTAGTTTTAAAATTTTAGCAGATATAAGATTTTCATGTATTTTTCTTGAAAGAGACTTTCATGATATAAAGTCAGTTGTTAAACCGAACTCATTAAACTTTAATGATTAAAGTAACACTGTATTTTCTGAGGCATTTCTTAACAGTTAGTATATCTTGTAAATATTAAGATTATCAAATTTAATATTTGCACCTGTTATAGTGCGTCTCAAAACAAGATTCTCGCTTTTGACATTGAAGAATTGCCAATATTTAATTTTAATATATTTTTATTCCGACGAAGTATTCATTTTTAGTTTTTTTTTTTTAAATATGAAAGTTTTCAAGTCTATTTATCTGTGTTCTTCCGTATTCAAGGTTTTATGATAAATAATCCTTCTTTTTCAAAGGCACTCACTCTAATTTTGTCACTCCATATAAAAATAAGTATGTACTTTTATCCTTATAGAAGTTTTTGCCAAATAATCCCTCTACTTTAACAAAAATTCTCTATAAATGTATGTCCATTTGTCTGAATATTACCTTTTATGCTTCATAATCCTCGCATTTCTCTACAAGTCGATGTCAGTTTTTTTAAACAGGATATAATAGTAATCCTGTAGTTCTTTAAAGAATTTCTTCTTTTTTGTCAGTTTTTCGGGATTTTAGTTTTAATTCCTTAAAATTACCTAATTTTTAAAGCAATAATCTATCAATCTTTAATGCTTAGTCATCACTCAGTTTTGTAAGAATTTCTCTAATTTTTGTCCATATGACTATCTTTTAACTTGATAGGCTTATAACATCTGAATTCTCAGTTCTTGAAGCATTTCCTTAAAAGTCTTATATTCGCCTAAGTCCTCTTGTAGGTTCTGTGCTAACTAGTTCTTAAGATTAAAAAGATCTTTTCTCTAGACTTTATATAAACTACAATTAATTCTTTCTTCTGGGGTAAGTTCTTCTGACTCTTAAGAATTTGATGACTATATCTTATATTTCGAACTCAGTTCTTCCAATCCATGTCCATTTCCAACTAATATATTCTCCTAAACCTACCATAACATATATTACTTGTTATCTTAACTCATTTTACTATATAATATGAAAAAGCGAGAATCAGCCGACTATAACCCATCCAATCAATTCCTTCCCCTCCCACTCCCTACACACACCCATCATATTTGATGTTTATTCATGGGATTGAAAATGCCAAACGACGAGTGTTTTATGGCCGGCCTGTCCATCAGATTTGTTATCCGATCTGGATTGTGTGTACGAGAGATATAGGATGGCCCATACAATGCAGCAATTCATCAATTCCCATTTCCATATTCCATCCTAATTGTATCTGTATCTCTATCTCCATCTCCATCTGTATCTATGTATCTTTGTTAGCGGAATAACCACTAACGCATCCTGTGTGCCTCGCTTTTCCTCACTATCCTCGCTCTAAATGGAAAACAATTAATGAAAATGAAATTATACGTGGCCGGAAGCCATCACGAATTTTGAGAGTGCAAATGCCATTAGCATTTTAGCTAGGGGGCGTGGTCAGCCCCCAAAAGGGGCGATGGCGACTAGTGGACGTATGTTCTCGGGTAGAGGCAGGGAGAGTGCCACTAGCTGTCAACACATGCTGAACATATTGAATTTCCGAGTGCAGGGCAGTCCATCGGGGTGGTATGGGCTTCTGCCACGAGCTGGAGGGGGTGCCCTGGGCGTTGTCCTTGTTCGGGCGCCCTGTGTGATTTCTTTTAAAGGCCCGGCGGGGTTTACACTTTATGAGATTCACTTTCCCGAAATAATACTCTTCGAGGGGGGGCTCTACCTAAAATAATACAAGTCTTACACCTTGTGGTAAAAGCTGTTCTCTTCCCGAATTCCAGATGCCATGGACTTCAAGGAGCGACTGATAGCCAGCGTGAAGAAGGAGGTCAAGCAGCTGATGGAGGAGGCGGTCACCAAGAAGTACGTTCACGAGGAGAGCAGCTCGGTGACCTCACTCTGTGGCGCTGTGGAGGCCTGCCTGAGCCAGGGTCTGCGCCGGCGGGCTCTCGGCCTCTTCAAAACCTCCTCGACCACGGCGCTGCTGCACAAGATCGCCAAGAGCTGCCCGGAGGCGGAGCACATCAGCAAGCTAGTGCAGGAGATCGAGGCCAGTGACCCCAGCAAGCGATCCTCAAGCAGCTCCGACAGCTTCCAGCGTCCCCCGATGCTGAAGAAGAGCAGCAGCCACTCGATGTCCGGCAGCAACCAGGTGGCGGCCAGTGGCTCCTCCGCCTCCGCCTCGGCGTCGGTTAGTGTCAGTGCCAGCAACTCCAGCATGTCGTTGGCCAGTTTGAAGTGAGTTCCCAAGTCCCTTGTAGCCTCGACAGCTAGAACCTCTTGCCTCCTCCCCAGATATCTGTGGATCCGCCTGGCCTTGTACGAGAAGCGTCTCACCAAGATCATAGAGTACTTGGTCTGTAATGCCAGCAGCTTCTACGACCGCGACTCTCTGGTGGCCGACCCGGACTATGGATCCATCCTGAGCTCCCTGCTGGTGGGTCCTTGCGCCCTGGAGTTCACGCGCGCCAAAACAGCCGATCACTACTGGACCGATCCGCACGCCGATGAGCTGGTAAGAGGATAGTTCTCGAAGATATGAGATCCTTCTTGATATCCTTTGTCTTCTGCAGGTGCAACGTCATCGCATCAGCTCGTGCCGGCGCTCCTCATCGACCTGCTCGCGGCCGGCGATCATCAACTTCAAGAGGAGCCTCAACACCTCCTCGGACGAGGCCAGCAGCGGCTCCTTCAAGTCGATCGCCTCGGCCACCGTGGCCAAGGACTACGTGGAGTCCTTGCACCAGAACGCCAAGGCCACGCTCCTCTACGGCAAGAACAACGTCCAGGTGCTGCCCAAGAACGTGGCCGAGCCGATGCCCGGCTACCTGAGTCTCCACCAGCACATCCAGACCCTCACCATCAAGTGGACGCCCAACCAGCTGATGAACGGCTACAACGAGGCCGAGGAGGAGGACATCGACAAGGACGCCTTCTGGGCCTACGCCCTCAACATCAATGTGGACGAGATCGTGTACGTCCACTGCCACCAGAGCAGGGGCGAGGATAGCGGCGGCACTGTCATCCTTGTGGGACAGGATGGCGTCCAGAGGCCTCCGATTCACTTTCCGGAGGGCGGGCACATGCAGCAGTTCCTCAGCTGCCTGGAAACAGGTCTCCTGCCGCACGGCCAGCTGGATCCGCCTCTCTGGTCGCAGCGGGGCATCGGCAAGATGTTCCTCTGGCCGCGGAGCATGCGACGGCGCATCCTGCCCTCGGTCATGGAGTCCGTGGACGAGACACCCATTGATTATGTCTTTAGGATTGTCAGCAAAAGCAGGCACGAGGAGTTTGGTGAGTAGAGGGCATCTAAGAGCCTCCTATGTAGTCCTTCTAATCCTTCATATCCCTTGACCCACTTTTGGAACAGCTGCCACCCACTCCATCCTGGACTTTGTGAGGAGTACTCCGCGACGTGCTCAGCTTAGCAGCTGCTCCACCACCGGCAGCAGCGACTGCTCCAACAAGAGCCTCTCCATTGATCAGTTCCCCCTGGAGTCGCCGCTCCTCCTCCAGCAGCAGCAGCAGCAACAACAGATGCTCCAGCAGAGCACCAGCATTGAGATGGTCTGCTCCACGATGAGGCGCCAGATCATCTCCCGGGCCTTCTACGGGTGGCTGGCCTACTGTCGCCACCTCTCCACCGTGAGGACACATCTCTCCGGCCTGGTGCACGGCAGGATCACGCCAGAAAGTAAGTGTGAAAGGCAGCCAGAGGAGTGGAAGATTTTAATCCTATCCATTTCCAGTGAAAGCTGACGAGGAGGGCCTGACCAAGCAGCGTTGGGAGCTGTTGAACGTGGACGGGGTGCTGGAGAACGCCACGGAGTTCTACCGCCTGGTCTACTTTGGCGGAGTCCAGCCCGAGATGCGGCAGGAGGTGTGGCCCTACCTCCTGGGACACTACGCCTTCGGCTCGACCCCGGAGGACCGGAAGAAGCAGGACGAGACCTGCAAGCACTACTACGAGACCACGATGAGCGAGTGGCTGGCCGTGGACGCCATCGTCCAGCAGCGGGAGAAGGAGAAGACGGCCCGGGCGGTGGCCAAGCTGAGTTCCGGATCCAACAGCGGCAACGACAGGACAGTCAGAGCCGTGGACCTGGACCTGGGCGGTGGGGAGCTGGAGAACGAGGTCTTTGAGGATATATCCGATATATCCGATCCGGGCGACCTCGAGTTCGACGAACAGCAGCAGCAGGAGGGCGGAGGAGCTGGAGGGGCCGCTGCCGGGGGTCTGGTCACCAGCCTAAGTGGCATGCACCTGAGCGTGAAGCCCATTCCCAGGTCGATGAAGACCAGCACGGACTCGGGCCACGTGGACGAGGGCGAGAGTTTCAACGAGCTGGACGAGGACCTGGACCTGGAGCACGAGCAGCCGGAGAAGCAGGCCCAGCTGGCCAAGGCCGAGGAGCCGGAGGAGCAAGGCACGCCCCCGAATCCCGAGCCAAGCTGCTCCACATCCACGGCCTCCTCGTACGAGACAGTGGGCCTGGGCGGAGCTCAGACCACCACGCGTAGTGTCCTAAGTCCGGAGTACCTGAGCGCCGACGATCTGCAGCTGCCGGAGGACGAGGATGCAGTGAAGCCTCAGCCGCAGGCAGCCGCCGTAATTATCACAAAGGCCTCCGTTGACATAGCCAACTGGGAGCGAAGCCCCAAGGCGGGAGGACAGGGCGATCAGATGACGCCGCTCGAGGAGTCACCCAGCGAGCCGGTAGGAGCCGGCCAAGGTGCTGGCTCCAATCTGGATGCTCTGCAGGAGCCCAAGTCGGCATGTGCCTCGCCAGCCAGCTCCAATGGCGGAGTCTACAGTGTAAGTATATGCTGACTTCCATTGGAGCTCTGAATCCTCTCATGCCCTCTTTAGAGCGAGCTCCTGGAGCAGTTCGGCCTGAATCTGCACCGGATCGAGAAGGATGTCCAGCGATGTGACAGGAACTACTGGTACTTTGCCAACGAGAACCTGGACAAGCTGCGGAACGTGATCTCCACGTACGTGTGGGAGCACCTGGACGTGGGCTACATGCAGGGCATGTGCGACCTGGTGGCGCCACTCCTGGTCATCTTCGACGACGAGTCCCTCAGCTACAGCTGCTTCTGCAAGCTCATGGAGCGGATGATCGAGAACTTTCCCAGTGGTGGGGCCATGGACATGCATTTTGCCAACATGAGGTGAGGGACAAGACTTTGATACATGATTCCTTGCTAAGTACTCTCTCTATTTACAGGTCCCTTATCCAGATCCTCGACTCGGAGATGTACGACCTGATGGACTCGAATGGGGACTACACGCACTTCTACTTCTGCTACCGCTGGTTCCTGCTCGACTTCAAGCGGGAGCTCGTCTACGACGACGTCTTCGCCACCTGGGAGGTGATCTGGGCGGCCAAGCACATCGCCTCCGGGCACTTTGTCCTCTTCCTGGCCCTGGCCCTGCTAGAGACCTACCGCGACATCATCCTCTCGAATAGCATGGACTTTACCGATGTCATCAAGTTTTTCAATGGTTAGACATCAGGATATCTAGCTTTATCCTTTATTTTAATCCTTGAATGTCTTTCAGAAATGGCTGAGCGTCACAATGCCCAGGCAGTGCTGCAACTGGCCCGGAGCCTGGTACTGCAGCTGCAGATGATAATCGAGAATAAATAAATTGCAATTAAAGATTACTTAGATCGTAGTTCCAATGTCGTTTGCCAAAGATTAAAGTCACTAAACTGGACTAACAGATAAACAATAAATATGTGTAGGAATCGTTTCCGTTTATTGATCGATGTCTTCGTTGAAAAAATACCTTAAAAAATGAAACAAGTTAAAAGATAAAAGTATTTAAATAGATGTATGTATATGGAATTCCAAAGTCCAAACCTGTAAGCTGTAAACTGTTAACTGTAAACAATATTATATATTTTTATGTGTACGTAAGTTCTTCCTAAAAATCTCTAAACGCATATCCCCAAACTACAATGGAAACTACAAAACAGGGGCCGAAAATGCAAAAGACTCTCAACAAAAGAATGAAAATCTTATACATTGAAATCCTTTTACAACCAAACCTTGTATAGAACTCTGGAATTCACAATTTTTGCTCTTTAAAAAAAAAACAAAAAAGAAAAATTAAAGATATACAAGAATATATATATATATTATACAAAAACAAAAAAACGAAAGTGCAACATAATTATCACATCAATATCAAAAAAAAACTATCAATATATATCCTAAACACATATGAGAAAAGAAATGGCTAAATGTTTTTGGCTGGTTTTTTGATAATTTATTAAAAGCACTCGACAAAGATCAAAGAAATATATATATTATATAAATGTAGAAAGGGGAAATATGTTCCGATTCAGATTCAAAATCAAAAACTCAACTCTCTGTACCAGCGATTTAATATCCAATTGTGTGTAACAATCAAGGCCAACAATAAAGTCACAGTCAAGTACCCTTCAATTGCAACACAGATATACATATATACTGAATGTGTCTATTATCTGGATATATATATATATATATACGATATATAGTCTATGTAAGCTGCTCTCTTGCCAAAACCCCAATCTATTCTTGTTTCTTGTATTATTTTTTATAAAAATATATATATTTATGTATATTTACAAAGCCTCTACACTATTATACACCCGAGTATATAGATATGTTTATATGGAGTTTGTCTATATCTCTATATACTTTCCTCCTGTGTGATCTCTCTCTACACTGAGTATAAATGTTGTGGATTATCAATATAACTTAATTGTCACCTTTTTGTAAATGTACCTTTCCTGGGCATTCCCTCACTCTGCTCTGTCTGCTTCACCTCAATTACCAGATCAGAAATATATATAAATATACACCCACACGGTTATATGAATATAAATATAAATTATACATATATAGCATAAATGTATACAAGTACAAAACAAGCAGAGAATGAAATTAATAAATAAATAACACATACGCCATGTTGTACGCATTTTCATTCAGCAATTCCAGTTCTACTAGGGGAGTTTGATTATTTAATTTGGGATTGCTTATGGTTTAATTGATCCAAAATACCACATTTCAAAAGGATAATATCTTATAGCTGCCATATAACTGAACAAACGGAAATGATATTTGGTAAAAACACCAGCTTTGATATTTTTAAAGATCGAAGCTTGGGACTTTTTTTTAGAATGTTATATTATGATATTATATTATGATGTTATATTATGAGGCATTCATCCAAACAAATCCATTCAACTCATTTTTTCAATTTAGTGTGTGAATTCAAACTAAAGATTAAGATTCATCACTGAAGATTATTGTGGACTTCAACGAAGGCGACAAGTCACAGATCATTATGATTACGGAATTTGTGTGTGTCTTTGGACTTGTCGTTGTTGTAGGATACCTGGTCAAGGGTTCGTCCTCATTTCTGTATAAACTGGAAGAAATTAATCGTGAGGTGGAGTTTCTAGTCGTTGAAGCGAAGCTTCTAGAAATGATGCAATTTTTAAAAGCATCCGATGTTGATCAGAAAACCTTGGAAATGTTAAAAATGACCCTCATCGGTTTCCGCATGGACGTATGGCAAAGTGTAAAAGAATTAAATTGGGAATATTTTGTTCAAAAATTAAGGTATTCTTTTAAGTTTTGAATTAACTTTATTCTTTGATATTAAATTTTCCATTTTATGGTATATATTCAAAGTTTTGCATTATCCATTTTTATTTTATTGTAACACCGCAAAATGTGTTGTTAAATTATAAAAATGTAAATTATATTAAATGCAATTTGCACAAAACAAAAAATGGTAACTTTTTAATGAAATGGAATGGTATTATACTCTTATTATAAAAGCTTTAAAATAATATCTATAAATATCTAAAAATATTTAAATTAATTTTCATCATACAGACATGGCATGAGAAACTACACAGGGATGCTGGAACCTGGATGGTAAGGATAGGTCAAAGTTCTTTAGTTTCAAAGAAAGCTTAGTCTTAGGAAGATGGTTTTAAAAAGTGATTTTTAAGAAAGACTTGAAACTTTGTACACACCCTTCTTTTCTTTGCACGCAGTATACATATTAGGCGGAACAGCCGGGATCGGCCGACTATATCCGATGGCTGCCATATACATAACTGATTGATTGGAAATATTGTAAAATCGGTATTTTTACAATTACAGAGTTGGGATTTTTATGAATTCTATTCTTGGCAAATTAATACGATATACCAACTTTCATAAGGATCCTATAGAGGATAACCCCGTTTTCAAGGGATCCCATCACAAAAAATGGACAAAAATTCTTAAAAATATTTAGTCCCAGGATTTTGTTGCAGAATGATGGGGAGTCGATCCAGAAATCATTTAAGGTACTCCCCTTGAGAATCGGATGAGAATTGGGGAAGATATAGCCATCACTGTGGACCCCAAAAGAGAAAACCCCATTTTCAAGGGATCCCATCACGAAAAATGGACAAAAATCTAAAAAATATTTTGTCTCAGGATATTGATGCAGAATGGTGGATAATCGAGAAATCGTTTAATTCGTAGAAAGAAATCGTAATAATCTAGAAATCGTTTAAGGTACTCCGCTTGAGAATCGGATGAGAATTGGGGAAGATATAGCCATCACTGTGGACCCTATAGGCGAAAATCCCATTTTCAAGGGATCCCATCACGAAAAATCGACAAAAAGTCTAAAAAATATTTTGTCTCTAGATTTTGATGCAGAGTGGTGGGGAATCAACTCAGAAATCATTTAAGGTACTCCGCTTCAGAATCGGATGAGAATTGGGGAAGATATAGCCATCACTGTGGACCCCAAAAGGGAAAACCAAATGTTCAAGGGATCCCATCACATCCCATGACAAAACATCTAAAAAATATTTTGGCTCAGGATTTTGATGCAAAATGGTGGGAAATCGATCTAGCAATCGTTAAAGATACTCCTCTTGAGAATCGGATAAGAATTGAGGAAGATATAGCCATCACTGTGGAACCTATAGGGGACTATATCCTATAGCTCCCAGATAACTGAACTATTGGCAATGTCCGTACTTTCTTGTTTTTGAAGATAAAATGTTTGAAGTTCCTACAGATTCCATTTTAGGTCCGACCTTATGATCCGAGCTTCCAAATGTCATAAGGATCGGTCGACTATAACTTATAGCTGCCATATAACTGAACAATCGGAAAAAGTATTTGGTAAATTTACCAACTTTACTCTTTTGGATAGCTTTTGGAAGCTATGACTTTATTTTTAAGTTTTTTATTCTAATAAATTGGTTTTATAATATATTCTATATGCGATATTCGCGATAAATATCTTAACCGCAAGGGTATATCACTTCGGCTCCGCCCGAAGTTAGCCTTTCTTTCTTGTTTGTTGAGATATCGCATCAACCACAAGTTATTTTGAAACTCAGTATACTTCCAACTAACTTCGACAACAATTTAGTTTTTAAAAACTGGATACTAAACTAGTATCGAAATTCATAAACTATGTAAAATAGAAGACGCACTTAAGCGCGACATTTATTTGTTAAAGATAAGGCACTATTGCGTCATTGAAATCTATTTGAAAAGTACTTTCCATCTGGAGAATGTAGTATATATAATAATATATAAATAACAATAATTTAAAATAAAAGATTAGCAACATAAATCAGTTCTTATTGCTAATCACCTCTCTGTAATCTCTAATACCGTCTGGCACCCCATCTACGCACATTCTGTCTGTAGAATATTTTGGTTTCTCTATATGTTTGCGTATTTCACAATTCCTTATCAGAGCTCAAGCTCAAGACCGAGAATGGCCTTAAAAAGCCAGAGCTTCGAAACTCGCAGCATCAGTTGAAATATTTTCGGTGATTCTTTCAGAAGAGTGTTCCGTTTGATCCCAAAAGTACAAGATGATTCTCCCAGTGGCCCTCATTTCAGCAATTTTCTATATTTCTGCCGCGTGGGGATCAGAAGAGGTAATAGCCGTTTTAAGTTTTTTTATTTTGAAAATTAATTTTGATTAAAATTCCGCAGTCTTTTCATCTCTCGGAAGAAATCTCAAACTCGAATAATCAAATGAAGACAGTGGATCCTTGTCCAGAGAGACAGACAAAAAATATAGAATTTCATGGAGAAATGTTCGCATTCTACCGCGATATCCGTGAGATCCAAATTCCAGGCACAGACCCGTTTAAAGTGCTTTGTTGTACATACGGGAATTATGGATCTAAATGGATGAAAGTTTTTTATAGACGTGGTTCTTCAAAATTATTCAATCGCACGTATGAGGATTATGAACGTGGATTTGGAAATGTCGGAATTAATGGTACGGATGAGTTCTTCATTGGCCTCAAACAACTGCACCTACTGATGAATGAAAACCCTCATGAACTTATGGTAACCACGATGGAAAATGTATTTCAAAGGAGAACATGCAACCATTTTGTTGTGGGCAGTCAAAACGAAGGATATATGCTGAAAAGTATTGGCAAATGTACTGGAAACGCCAATATGTTGTTCCCTAGGCAGGGCTCCACATTTTCCACCTTTGATCGAGACGAGGATGGATTTCCTGATCGTAATTTGGCCGAGGAAGTGGGCTTTGGCTGGTGGTTCGATCCCAGCATGAGTAACATCAGGTGGGTATTCCCATTTTCTTTTCCTGTTTCATTCCCTTTTGTATGTTTTTAAAATAATTAACATGAAATATTTTTTTTAATTCTATTTTTTCATTGCTGGATATTTTTGGTACATAAGGGACTACGTCGGTTTGTACATTCATATGTACATTCGAAAAATAGATTGAAGAAAACAAACCTTCTTTCTAAAAGCGAACTCCTTTTTAAACAGAAAAGGGAATATTTTTAGAAAATATATAGATTAAAAATTTTCACTAAAATGTAATTGTTTTCTTTTTAGACGATAATTTTATAATTTTTAGAAAATTTATAAATACAATTTTCGAACAAAATATGTAAAAATATGTAATATGTATTAATAAAAGTTTTTACTGGAAACATCTTCAGAAGGTCGGAAAACACAACCAATAAAATTTTTTAATTTCAGGATCATCCGTAAAGGAGACCTTTATAAATGCCCACAAAAGTTTAAAAAACACAAGTTACCTCATTTCCGCTTATTCAGTTATATGTTTGTATGTGATCCGATACACATAATCGGGTCCGATAAAAGTTGTAGATCTATTATTTACATGCCTTCTCCCTGAAATTTAATTTGGGACAGTTCTGGATAAAATATATGCATGTTTTTGGAAGCATGACAGAGCAGTGATTTGAGGAAAAATATATAGAATATAATTCAAAAATTTATAAATTCATAAATCATCATAAAAAGTATAATTTGTCGTCCTCTTCAACAGTCGAGTCGATATAGCCATGTCTATCCGTCTCAGAAAGTTTAAGAGATAGAGCTATATAATTTGCTATAGAAGCTATAGAATATCCACTCCCACAAATTGCATATTTCTGCAGAACCACTACAGGAAAGTATTTTGAAAAAATGTTGATGCCAAACTATATATATTGTTTATTAATATGTGGAATAGATGAGTACCGCGTGTAATATAGTTTATTCTTGTTATTTATTTGTTCCCTAACGGAAGTTTTCCTAACGCATGTTCGATAAATCCATTCAATAATTATAAATATAAATAAGCTTACCGGCAAAGGTAAACAATCTTGGGTTATCAGGCGATAAGACAGGCCTTCATTCAAGGTTCTATTCCCACGATTCCACTTGATGTTGCCAATGGCCCAAAATCGGATTGATTATAGTTGATATTTATAGTACATTGCCAGGGAGATGAATGAAACGTAATTTAGTGAAAACATATACAATTTATAAAAATATTATACCTATATTTAGATATACCTATACAAAATTTAAAAAATAAGCGAAATACCTAAACAAATATCTGTTAAGTTCTGCCAGTGTATGCTTTATAAAAAGGGAAACCCGCCTTATCTTTTATTTGCCAATTTCGCCTTGCTCTCTTTTTTACGCTTCTATATATATTTTCATATACTTGCTTTGCATTTTCACATTTACTTTGATATTGCAGAGCATTCAGAGTTCTATTTATTTATTTTTATTTTTATTTTTTGTGGCCTTTATAAATTAAGAACCCTGCAATTGCATTTTATTCATTCGTCTGTTTGAACTCGGAGGAGCTGGAACCTCAATTCGGAATGGCGGTGTCGATCTTGGCCAGTTTGTTAGGATTGACCAATGGGGACGATCAGATGCAATTGGCTTTTGACGAAGTTACGAAAACCAGAAGTGAGTCGAAATATTTTAAAAAAGGTTTCTAGTGTTTTTTGGTGAAATTTCAAATCAATAATTGGTCACGAATTTGGTGGTTAATGAAATTTTATTTAGGAAGTAGTTTGTTGTTTTTATAAAATTATCAAGAATGTAATACTATAATATATATAGTATGTATATAGTATGCATATATAATTTGGATAAATATTTCTATAATCTACACATTAAGTCAGAAACCTAGAACAAACTTTAATTGGCTCGTTATGTTTATGAAAAGAGTTTAAGAGTTTAACGAGATGTGAAAGAAACCTTATGGGCGTGTACTTACTACTTTTCCTAGAAGTGTATCTTTAGAAAGAAAATATCACAAATTACATTATAATTCTTTATTTAATTAAGACACAGATATAGAAGAGATAACACCAATTGCAAGGATTATATTTATTAGGGTTTTCCATTTTTTCTGCGGCGTAAAAAGTGATTTTCACTTAAAAAGCGACGCCAAATTACAAACAAAATAAAACACACTTTAAACCGGCACGTAAAACATTTACAAACAACTGTAATTACTCAATATAATAACGTAGAATTATATTTGAATTTTTTACACCTTCGTTTAAATTTAAAACATTTATTAGTAATAATAATTATAATCAAAAAAACAGGAGTTCTAATTAACAAGCAAGGATTAAAAAGAAAACAGCGATCGGAGGCCGACGGTGAGGGAAGCTTTTAAATAAGAGAATGTGCCAGAAAAAGGTGACACACTCTCTTAAAGAAAATTTGGCCTACTTCTTAGTAAAGGAGAGAGTGCACTTACATTTCTAAAGGAGAGCATCTTCTGCACTCACCTTTTTGTCAGGAAAAAAATCGTGGTTTTCAGTAAAGAATATTTATAGATGATATTCCAAACTACATAAATATTCCAGGTGTTTGGCGGCAAAAAGCCGACTTTTGAATTTGAAAGAAAGCAAATATTGATCAAAGATATACTAATTTTATAAGGAATATATTGCTATACATACTTTTTTAGCCAAATTATTCTATTCTCTAAAAGTCACTAATAAAATTAAAAACATAAAAAATTTTTTGTTCTAGTTTTTTTATCATTTAAATAGGATTTAATAAATAGCATTTAATTTAATTTTCTTATTAAAAACTTTTTGGAGTAAACGGCCTTTAAAAAGCTTTACGCACTTCATACGCACATTAAAGCTCTCTCTCCGACTATTTCCGACTATCTATATCTCTCCCCGCTATATATAAGTCTACTCAGCTGATTTCGATCCCAGTTCGAGCTTTACTTCTCTAGCTTTGCGTAGCTTTATCAGTCGAACTTGTTTGCCAGAGAATTTGTGGTGTGTTCGGTAAAAAATAGAGATTTCTTTGGGTTGCAACAGCAGATCTATGTTTGATCTTTGGACCGGGTGTCTTGTATTTGTTTATTTCTTAAATATTATTTATAATTCTGTTTTGCAGCAGCTCCTGTTAGGCAGGCAACTAACCTGAAGATGTCCAACCCCATACGCTACTACTACGACCTGATGTCACAGCCCTCGAGGGCCTTGCACATTATTTTCCGACTGAGCAATATGCCATTTGAGGATTGTGTGGTGGCTCTCAGAAATGGTAAGGAAGGGCCTCTTGTAAGAGTGGACCAAAGCACTAAAAAACCCTATTTAAATATTTAGTAAAAACACTCCACTCCAATAGTCCATAGGGCACATTTCGAAACCCCATTTATCCCTTAACCCCTATCTAATCGCCACCACGGTCTTTGCCCCCTCCAGGCGAGCACTTGACCGACGACTACAAGCGGGAGATAAATCGCTTCCAGCGCGTGCCCTGCATCCACGACAATGGCTACAAGCTGGCCGAGAGCGTGGCCATTCTGCGGTATCTGAGTGCCAAGGGCAAGATCCCCGAGCATCTGTATCCCAAGTACTTCGTGGACCAGAGCCGAGTGGACGAGTTCCTCGAGTGGCAGCACATGACCCTTCGAATCACCTGCGCCATGTACTTCCGGACCGTGTGGCTGGAACCGCTTCTCACCGGCAAGACACCCACGGAGGCCAAGATCGAGGTCATGCGAATGCATATGGAACGCAATCTCGATGTGGTCGAGGAAGTGTGGCTGGAGGGTAAGGACTTTCTCACGGGAAACTCCCTGACGGTGGCCGATATTTTTGCAGCCTGCGAAATAGAACAGACACGTAAGTTTTTGGATTAAGGAGTGAATATTTAGGTTTTTTACCTTCTATAGATGGAGTTTTGTTCAAAATTGGTTAGCAATAGAGTTAAGGATTCAGAAATTCAAAAACTTGGCTTTATTGGCTCTATTTTTTTGAATCTAGTACCTTCATAACTCGGATCATACTTTATACTTATCGGTTCCATAGATATACCTTTACGAACTAATCTCAAAAATAATATTTATCCATTTTTCGTAAAATTTCCATTGGTTAATATTATAAAAATTGACAAAAATTTATGTTTAGAAATTTTTAGAATAGAAACATATTTATATTTCTACTTTTATATTTTGATGCAGATTAAAAGAGAATGCTTTTTGGATTTTCTAAATTCCATATTCTGGTTTCCATAACTTGGGTTATAATTATGATATATTAATTATACTATTTATGGTATACCTTTGCGTGCTCAGCCTTTCGAGTACTATCATTTCTTGTCCAAAATAAAAAAAATACAAAATTTGAACATTTTCCATCTTTATGATGGTAAAATATTTAGTAAAAATATGTCTTTATGTTACTTAAATTTTAATGCAGAACAAAGAAGATAATTTCCCTTTATTATAAATGGGCTTAGTAACGTTTTCAAATTGCTACCAAAATGACAGCAATATATGTATGGCCCAGAAAACATGCAAGAAATAGTCAATTTAATTTTCTTATGACCATAACTTGGGTTATAGTTGGTGCTCAAATATTATATCTTACCGATCCGAAAATTTTCTTGAAGTACCCAATACAAATCTACAATTTCACCCAGTTTTTTAAAATTTTTCCAAGGCGTAAAAATCGTACAAAATAGTTGGAATTAAAATAATTCGGCTTATTCCAGGCATGGCTGACTACGATGTGAGGATCAAGTACCCCAAGATCCGGGCCTGGCTGAAGCGCGTGCGCCAGAGCTGCAATCCGCACTACGATGTGGCCCACGAGTTTGTCTACAAAATATCCGGAACAGGACCTCAGGCCAAGCTATAGAGATCCACAAAGGATCTATGTTAAGCACAAACATTATCATTATGTAAATATTATCTAGCATGTACCACTTACATACAAATTCCAATGGGATTAAGATATATTAATATGTATATGTATATAAAAAATAAATAAATGAAACAAGTGGTTTATTTTTTTTCTGGTTTATCCTTGTACAATTTATTCTTAATATTGGTTGTTGTTGTTGTTTTTCTTTTTCTTTTATTATTGTGTTTCGTATTTTATCGAATTTTTATAGAAATCCACAATTATTTGTTTTTGTTGGTTTGTTTGAAAAAAAATCATAATAAAAATATAATATATATCAGATGTTTACATACATATATATGCATTTATATATGTATATATATAATAGAAAATACAATTTTTAAAAAATAACTACCTAAAGTCTAACAAAAATTGTTTTTAGTTTTTAATAATAATATTTATATAGCAACGTTACGCGCTTTTTTGTGGTTATTTCTATATACTTCTCCATCACTGCTCTTCTCTGACATTTACCATTATCTTCTTCTAATGCTCTTTCTTTCTATCATTCGTTTATTCCTGTTCCTCCTTCGGTTAACAAAACAAAATGCATACAAAATATATAAATGTTTTTTCTTTTTTTGTAGTTTTTTGTTTTTTTTTAAGTGTATATATATATCCTTTTTTTTATATATCTGTGTGTGTGTAAGTGTTTTTTTGTAAGTGTGTGGGAAAGGTTCAAATCATAATTGTGTAGAAAAAAATAAATTGTATATACAAGTATTTAAAAAAGAAACAAATTATGGGAAAAATACTATACAGTACAGGATGTGTGTTATGTGGTTGTGTGGGTATATATAAATCTACATACATACTTCTACCAGATAATTGCTTAATTAATTCTTGTTTCTTTATCATTGTTTATGCGTTTCTTTCCTTTTCCAAAAAAAAAAACCTTAAATCATACAAAAATCATATACAAACTACACAAAAATATATATATAATCATATTTCTTTATATATATGGTATTGTGTGTAAATGTAAATTTATGCCATCGTTTTGCAAATTTTTTGTTGTTATGTTTATTACATTTTGTTAAACATACATATATAGTTGCGTTTATCATTTTCTTTTTCTTCAAGTGTATACATAATTTCAAACATATAGTTTTTCTTTTTTTTCGGTTTTCTGCTTTGCTGGCCACCTGTCCGGGTTTTTAAGATTTTTAATTTTAAAATATTTTCTATATCTTGGCTGCACCAGTTTTTTGTGTTAATTCTTCTTAACATGCACCCCCTCACAAAATAAAAGAATTTTTTATAAAAAAAAATAACTAGTTTTTGGATTAAAAAAAATTTCGATAAAACAATTTTTTGAAAAAAAAAAAACATTTTTAAAGCAAAGAATTTAAGGCACCAAAAAATGGGTTCTACATCTGATCTCTTTCCAGAACTCCCGCACTCTCTTCTCTTCGTTACAACAGGTACACGCACACATACAGGCATACTACAAAACACGGACATACACTGAGAAAAACGATTAACTGAAGGACTGAGCCGGACAGGCGGCTGTGTTTCCTACACATACTTGTACATATATGTATGGTGTTTATACATATATATAAATATATATATATATGGGGTTAACAATTTTCTTTGTTGCGTTCGTTAATTCTCTATATAGTATATAGATGATTATTTTACAAATATATATATATATATATATAATAGGGATTATTTATGCGATTTTCTTTCTGCACTGTGTTTTGTTGTATACGTTTTACAAAATAGTTGCTCTCTCTCTTTCACATTCTCGCTGTGTATCTCTTTCTCTAAATAACTCTTGCTGCCTCTTTCTGCGACAAACTAGTGCTATCTCTCTTGGTTCCCTTTTCATTAATGTCTGTGTGTTGTGTGTGTTTGTTTGTGTGTGCGAATAAATAATTATTATTTTTTATAATATATGTATATATATATTTTTTTTTTCAGCTCCTGATAGATTTCATTTAAGATTGTTACTTTTGCGTTGCTTTGTTGCGTAAAGATCCTGTTTTAATCCTTTTTTCCTTGTGGGTGTGTGTGTTGGGGAGTTGTTTTTTTGGTTTAAAAAATATATCCTTATTTTTGTTGGGGAAACCAATGCGGAATTTCAATTCAAACACAACTCCCGGCTTGGAATTTGCACATGAATATATGTATGTATGTATGGTATATATAACTATATATCTTGATAATAATAGTAGTGTTGGTAATACTAAAATTTTAACTTTTCTGCTTTGGTTACACTTGATTGATCATGTTTTTCTCTTCAACACCGTTTTTTTTTTGTTTCTTTTTCAACGTTTTTGGACACAAATTGTTGCAACTGCACATTGATATTTAAATACAATAATCTAGTGATTCCTCTTTTTCTTTCAGTGTTGAAAAACACTAAAATCATGACTGACTATCCTGACAATGGATCAAAGAACCAGTATTTGAATTAATGGGCATTTTCCAAAAAAAATCTGTTTTTGGCATGTCTGAACTTGTCTGAACCTGTCGTATCATGTCTAAACATGTCATAACTTGTGAAAACTTGCCTAAGCCTGTCTAAACATCTTTAAACCTGTCTAAGCATGTCATAATATGTCTAAACTTGTCTGAAATGGTCTAAACATGTCTTAACCTGTCTTTAAAAAACTTTTCTAACCTCTTTTTTTGTAAACCTCTTTTCCTAATACTTTTTCCAACTGTTTCTATTTGTTTTTAGCATATTATTTATGTTATTTTTTAAATTTATACTTTGTATACCCTGATGGTAAACTCTTTGTTAAACTTTAAGCCTTTTTTTAGGGATATTCGTTACTTTTGAACTTCTGTAGCTACTTGACATGTGATTCTTTCTCTGAGGGTAGTTTCCATTTTCTACTTTTGTGTTTCTGATTGGACTTTCTCTTCGGGATTATGGGTGTCCTTGTTTCCGTTCTGAGGGCATCTTTACATTCTATTTTTTTTTAAAAGGGATTTGTAATCCTTGTTGCTAAGCCATGGTTCCTCCTCCAGGCTTCTACTTTGAAAATAGTCATAGTGTTGGTTTAGAAGCGTCCGCGATTTATGTTCTTGATGCGAATGCCCACTTCCAGGACCTGATCTCCCCCAGCCGGGGTGGTGCTGGTGCTGCTGCTGTTGCTGCTACTCCCACTGTTGCTGATGCTAGCGGTGGTGCTGCTCTGATTGCCACCCGATGTGGCATTGGCTCCACCGCCGCCACCTCCGCCGTTGCCGCCACCTCCTCCCACCACGCCAACTCCTACTCCGCCTCCGTTGCCGTTGCTTCCGTCGCTTTGTGGAGAGTTGTTGTTGTTGGTGCTGGTGTTGCTGCTGCTTGTGGATCCTGTAACGGGCAGGGCCACATTGGCGTCTCCTCCGGGAGCAGCGGCTCCTCCGTTGCCGCCTCCCAAGCGGCGCAGCACTGTTGTGGTCGTAGTCGTTGTGGTTGTGGTCTCCGCCGCGGCAGCGCCCTGCTCCTGGGAGTTGCCCAGCTTTAGCAGCTGCTGCTGGTGGTGGCGGTTATGGTGGTTGTAGTTGATGGCCGCCAGATCGTGGCCGCCGCGGATGTGGTTGGAGCAGCCGGTGGTGTAGTCGTGCGGCCCACCCACCGTGTGCCGGCGCTTGATGGAACGATTCTGCTTGTTCTGGATCTGGCGCTTCTTGGTCAGATTCATGTCAGTCTTCTCGTCCTTGGTCAGGCCGGTGCCGACGGCGGCGGCGCTACTGCTCACCGCCTGGCAGCAGGCCACGCCCACGGTGACCGACCCTCCCGATCCCGATCCGGCCGCCGGCTGCTGGCCGGTCAGGTGCCGGGTGGAGTAGTTGCGGCAGTTGAAGCTGGCCGACCGGAACAGGCGGTGGTCGCGTCTCTTCTTGTTGTAGCGCTCGAGAAAAAACGAAGGCGAGGGGCGCTCGCCCAGCAGCAGCTTCTCCTTCGGATCACTGGTGGTGGAGCCCTCGGAGTCGTCCTCGGAGGCGGCCGATCCGCCGCCAGTGGCCCGCTCGCCGGGCACTCCGCCCGCAATGGTGGCGTTGTAGTTCATGTAGCTACTGAACCGAGGATAGATGCTCTTGGTGCTGCCGCCTCCACTCCCGCCGCCACCGCCAATGGCTCCGCCGTTTCCCGAACTGCTGCCGGTGGGCGTGGCCGCTCCGCTGGCCGGGGCCGTGGAGCTGCCCTGATGGATCGGCACGGTGGCCGAGTGCTGCAGCTTGTGGGCCGCCTTCAACAGACTGGGCGGCAGGGGAGCCACCACTTGCTTCGTCGCCTTCTCATCGCCACCACCGCCCGAGCCCGACCCAATGGTATTGGTGGCCGTGCAGGAGCGGCTGAGATGGAGGGACAGAGGAGCACTGTCCAGGGGATTGCAGAACTGGTGGAACAGCCGCTCCGGCGACTCGTCCGCATACGGAATGTTCTCGGAGTGCAGATGCAGGGGCTGGCCCAGGGTGTGGCGCCTGTTCTTGGGGAACTCTGGCGATCCGTTCTCATCGTTGGACTCGGAGCCGCTGCGCAGGTTCCTCAGCTTGCTGTCCAAGGTGTCCGTGATGGTGGTCAGCGACATGGAACCTTGGTTGGGGGATTAGAATCTAGTGTCAGGGAATGGCTGTTCTGGAATGGCTTTCAAGTCGATCTCATACCCGTGTCGCTCAGCCGGCTGCTGGAGTCGTCGTCCGTCAGTAGAATGGATATGTCCACGCTGCTGCGCTGCTGCTCCTTGGCCAGGTTCAGGTTCAGACCCAGGCTGAGGCCCAAACTCCCGGCCGAGTCGACGCTGCCCGAGTCCTTCTCGTCGAGGCTGGCCTTCCGGGTGGAACGGGAGCCGAGGAAACCGCCGCCGGTCGTCCGCTTCTTGGTGGCGGCGCTCAGTAGCTTCGACGAGGTTGTGGTCGAGGTCGAGGTGGAGGACGAGGATATGGCCACCGCCGTGGCCGACGAGGCCGAGGACGAGGACGAGCTAAACTTGGCCGTGGAACTGGACGAGTTTGTGGAGCCCGAGGACGTGGCCTTGCCGCTGTGAAGAGTGGAACTGCTGGAGGTGCTTGTCGTGCTGGTGGTGCTGCTCGCCTTGGCATAGTCCAGCGACTGAAAGGGAAGAGAAACGGACAGAGAGGACGGGGAGGGGGCGTAGGAGAAGGTCGAGGCGGAGGTTGAGGTGGAGGAGGAGGAGGGCGTGGGCAGGAACAGGATTAGAGCCTGATCACAAATGCTCTGCACAGCCTTGCGCTGTGCCCGACGTTGCTGTATGGTTTTTGTGGTGGTGGTGGTGATGGTATTGGTGGTGGTGCTACTACTGTTGCTAGTGTGGTTCTTTTGGTTGTGGATGGTGGTGGAGATGGTACTGGAGGAGGTGCTTCCGCTTACCACAACACTCTCGCCGGAGTACGTGTCCGAGTTGACGCCTCCGCGCTTGCCGTGCGTCTTCCTCCTCAGTTGCGGTATGAACCGCGAGGTTCTTGTCGTCTCCCGCTCGGTGATCCTCTCGATCTTGGACAGATTGTGGAGCAGCATGCTGGTCTGATCCTCCTGCGTCTGTTGCTGCGGCTGGGCGGCACTTACGGCATTACCGCCTCCGCTCACGTCCGCCAGATCCGGCAGGCTGCCGTTCTCGAAAAAGTAATCGTACTGGAAGATGGGGAGGGGGAAACAGTTTAGAATTCTGGCTAGGATTAGCTAGGATCCTCGACCTACCTGTGTCACCAGCAGCTCTACTATGCGGCACTGGTGCTTCATATCCTTCACAGCCGTTTCCAGGGTATCGTTCGGTGTCCGGATGATCGACGGACCAAAGATGATGGCCAGGTTCTTGGGCTCCATGCGATTCACCTCGCAGTTGTCGCTCACCCGGCACAGATGCCGGATCAGATGCTTCATGGTGTCGTAGGGGTGGCGGGGCAGCGACTCCACGATCTCCTTGAGGAGCACGATCCGCTCCAGGCCCGTCTTCTTGTCGGCCTCGATGAAGTTGATGTAGTAGCTGGCCGGCATGAGGGCGTCCGGCAGGCTGCGGATGAACAGCTTCAGCAGGCTGCTGACCACATTCACGTCCTCCCATCGCACGTCCGTGGCACAGCTCTCGAACTGAAAGTCCTTGGTGTTGACCAGCTCGGAGAGCTCCGAGATGGCCGCCTTGTTGCCGGGAATGCGATAGATGCCGACCACGCTCAGGCCCTTCGTCTCCACGATGTTCGTGCACACCTCCACCAGGTGCGGCACGCATGGGAACTGCTTGGACATGGGACAGCTGCGCAGCGGCACCCCGATGGAGCCGAACTGCTTGGCCGGGCAGGAGGAGGGCGAGGCCAGGTCGTGGTGGGAAACGGAGCCACCGCCACTGCCGCCGCCACGACGGAAGAGCAGATCCTTCCAGTTCTTCGACTTGGGCGAGCCCAAATCCTTGTCGGGTATGTGCTTGTGGGAGGAGGACTTGCGCGCCTTCATCACCGGGGAAATGGAGTCACTGGTGGCGGCCACAATGGCGGCCGCGGCCGGCAGAGCCGAGACATGGTGGTGGCCGCCAGCCGCCTCGGCCAGGCCGCCGGAATGGGAGCTCAGCGGGGAGCTATCCGCACCGGCAGCCACTCCTCCGGCTGGCAGGTCGTCCAGGTAACTGGCACTGGCAGCCGTCTTCTGGGGCTCCGCCAGTTGCTTGCCTTGGTGGTCCTGTTTCGGCAGAGAGAGAGTGGGTTAGTGGAGGTCATCAAGTCCTCGAGGATTAACTTACATCGTCGTAGTTCAGGCTGTCCTTCCACTGCAACAGCCCGAAGAGACGCTTCATCTCGTTGCTGCTCTTGGTCTTGAAGAGGATCTCCGTGTAGGGACCGCTGCTGCTGGTCGTGGACGAGGACGTGGAGGCGGAGAGGGCCGATCCACTGGGCTCGTTGGCGGAGCTGCTGCCCGAGGAGGTCAGCAGCTTGTCCCCGTGCCCGTCCTCCAGGTTCAGCTCGTTGCCCAGGGTGGCCAGGTGGGCGCCAGTGGGCGAGGGCTTCGACTGCATGCGAATCAAGTACTTCTTCTTGTCCAGCGACTCGTCGAAGAACTTGAAGTTTCTAATATCCAGTTCTATCACCTGCAAGGATAACGAGGATTAGCCAGCTGCTGGAGGGATGCTAGGTGGCACCTACATTATGCTCCGATTTTCCATGACGGCCTGAGTAGATGCGCAGCAGATCTCCCTTGATCTCCAGCTTCACCTGACGCCACGATCGGTACTCGGACATGCGCTGCAAAGAGATCCAGATCAGCTATAGAATGGGTTTCTCTCAAGGATTATAATCCTTACCTTTCCATTAATGCAGGAGGACTTAATCTCAATCTCCGTCTCGAAGGCCTCCAGTTCGTTGGGCACATATTTGCCATTTAGTTCCGCATCGATGTGGATGCTGCAAAGGATTCAGACAAGGATTCAAATAAGATTCAAGAGGACCATTTCCCAATCCGGCTTCCACCCACCTGCTTCTCATGTCACTGCTCATGGAGGCTCGACGACTGCCATGCGCCGACAGACGCACATCCTCCAGGCCATTCGGTGTCTCTATGAACTCATGGCCACCACCCGCACCGCCAATCACATCGTATGTGGGATCCGGATGCTCCTCCACCAGGGATTTCGTTTTCTGCGGCTCCACCACGGCAGCCACCGGAATGGGCATGGAAATGGGTGCACTGATAGTGGGGACAGCTGGTGCTCCAGCAGCATCTCCTCCACCGCCACCGCCACTGGCAGCTGCTGCTGCGGCGGCTGCTTCGGCGTTGAAGTCGGCCTCGTTGTTGGTGGCCCGCAGGTAGGAGATGCGGCGCATGGGCTTGCCTTCGTCAAAGGAACTGGAGGTGATGGGCTTGTAGCGTCTAACCACACTGCCGGTGGGGGTTTCAGCAACGGCACCAGCTGAATAGGTAACTGGAAAGAGGGTTAGGATGTTATAGACCACCAGGGAGAGACTCCAGATCCAGACTCACCACTACTCTCGGCTATGTCGGCCAGTGTGGCCACTGAACTGCCACTAACTGACGTCTCCGGCAATGAAGCATATTCTGGAAGAGAGAGAAATGGGAAACCTGTTAGGGGCTTGGCTTGGAAAGTAAACAAAGGCGAGCAGGCATATGATCCTCTCCAGAAATATAAACACTTTTGCCAGAAAGGGACCGTGATCCGGTTACTCCACAAGTGTTTCAAATAAACATTTATTTCCAGACTCTGGACAGTGGCGCCGCCACTTCGCGGAACCCTAACAACACTCACTGTGCCCTCCAGCCGATGGAATCGGATCTATGGTGGCGTTCGCCAGCGTCGCCTTGTGCAGCTCCATCCGACTACCGGTCTGTCCATCCACCGCTGAGATCTGATGGATCTGCTGCTGCTGCTGCTGCTGCTGATGATGATGGTGCTGCTGGTGGTGGGAGGTCAGTTGCTGGTACTTGGCCAGTGGATGCTGCTGCAGGGATTCATAGAGGACGCTCTGCTTCTTCACAGACGTGGTGGTCGAGGAGGAGGACGTGGTAGTGGTGCTGTTGTTTGCCACACTCCCACCCCCACCAGAGGACTCCATAGCACTGGTGTTGATGGAGAGCGGCTTGAAGGGATCGAAGCCCTTGGACATGTGCGAGACCAGCTTCCGCTCGAAACTAAAATATTTTTCAGATTAATATTTTATTTTTTATATTTTTAAATAATAAAACTCACACTTTGTTGGTCACTCCCGTCTCCTGGAGTGTTTCAAAGTAGTCCAGATCCTTGCTGTACTTGGCATTGTTGTTGATCATCACCTGGCGGTGTTGCTGCTGTTGCATCTGATGGTGTTGCTGCTGCAACTGGTGATGTTGCTGCTGCTGCTGATGCTGATGCTGTTGCTGGTAATGCTGATGGCTGACACTTCCCGGCGCTGTCGAGGATCTCTGCACCTGTTGCACTTTACCTCCGGAATAGTACATGTCGTAGCTTAGGTGTTGCTGCTGTTGCTGTTGCTGTTTGTGCAACAATTGGTGGCTCCTTCGAGGCGGTGGCTGCACCACCTGTACAGGACCGCCTGGTGGAAAAAAATGCTGCTGCTGCTGCTGCTGATGAAGCTGCTGGGAGGCAGGATGGTGTTGCTGCTGGGCTGGCGAGGATTGCAACTGATTGCCGTTCGTCGAGGGCGAGGATGCCGAGGAGGACATCGAGGCCGGCACCGGTGACTTCAGGAACTCCTCCTTCTGCTTAATGGACTCTCTCAGTCGTATCATCAGATCATTGTTGTCACCTCCTCCCGATCCTTGGCCCTGTCCCTGCCCTGCACTTGCTCCTTGTCCAGGGGAGCTCCCAACCGCTGAACTTGGTCCGGCGGCGTACAGAGCTTGACTGGACGGCTTGGGCTGGCGGGCGGTGGGCAGGGGCGTGCTCGTTGCCGGGCCGGCCGATAATACTGTTAGATTTCCCGGCTGATTGACACTGCAACAAATAAAGGGGTGGGTTTTGGATTAAAAAATGTTTGAATTTAATTAATAATATTTATTATGTTTGAGATAAGGTGTTTAGAAATGGAATATAACAATGAATAATATAATTAAAATATAAACATTGTTGGTTTATATATATATTTTATAATATTATGTATAAAATGGTTATGAAATTTGGTTATACTTTCTTTAAACTTTTGTTTTTCTCTGATATCTGATAAAGCTCTGATATCCTATATCATATAAACCCCAAACCCCGTTTCCAAAGATTTATTTATGCATTCCCCTTAATACATCTTATAGAACTGAATTTTTTGGTTAGAGATATTATATATCTTAGATATTAAATATCTATATATATATCTCCCAACCCATCTATATCCTATCTATAACCTATCTCAATTTAGATAAAAAACTAAGTCAGACATATGGAAAAGGGGAGGGGAAATATCGAGGGGAAATGCCTCAATATATTAAGTATCATATTCTATACGAATTTGGTCACTTTCTTAACATAATTAAACTTTTATAATTACTTATATTACTAAGACACTTTTGTATCTTGATATGTTATGAAACAAATCGTTTTTATTTCTTAAGTGTGAAAAATCTTTTTATTTAAAAAACATATAAATGAATTTTATATATGGGTTCATTTTTTTGGGTTATTAGAAATTTCTGGTATATCTTAGATGCTTTCAGGCTGTAAGAGCTTATGACTTTCCATTCCTGAACTTTAGTAATGTTTAGATATTAATAGTAGAATGTAAACATATGATAATACATAATCCATAATATATAAACATAATCATAGATATGAAAAGAAACTATTGTATCACGATCACAAGATTTCTTAATCTTTTAATTATATATTTTAGATAAGAGATTTTTTAAGAGATTCTAGAATCTATCGTTCACTATTCTATTATAATTAGGCCTTTAGTTATTTTGCAACTTTTTGAGAAATTTTACATTAAATTTCAAACTATGTATATCACATTTTCTGGTTATATCCTATCCATTTTCTAAGTCATCCTATAATAGACTCAATTTCATTATTTGGTATCCACAAACTCATTTAATTCCATGTATAATCAGAATTTTATTTATTTTAGAATTGAGATGAAACACACCTTTTGTTATTCTCAGAGACATTATAACTGCCACTTTGGCCGAAAATGCAGTGCTGAAGGGCTTTAAGCAATTGCATTGCTACTAAAAAAATTAAAACAACAACCCAGAATTAGAAATATTTCAACAAAAATAACTCCCTAAATGGTGGCCTTTGGCTAAAAAAAAGAATATTTGTAACCTTCATATTGGCCTTTTTAATAAGCACTTGAAATAATGGTAGAAACTAGCATTTTTGCTGTTAATTTCTTTAAAATACAAAATATTTGTCAATAAGACTTAGAAGAAAAAAATGCAAATTGGCAATCAACCAAACACAGTAAAGCTTTTGTTTTTTTTTTTTATATTTTTTTTTTTTTAATTTTTGTTTGGCACGTGCCCTCATCAGGCAGTCACTTAATTTACTTAATTTTTTTGTCGTCATACGCGGCGCATGCGTAATATTTTCAATAATCACAAATTCTGGTCATGATTTTGATTTAAAAACAAAACAAAACAAAAAATGAAAACAAAAAACAAGGAATTATTATTTTGAAATTCCGCATTTAAGCACAAAAGGCCACCACCACCACAAGTCCCTTCTTATGGTTCACAAACTATTCACTATTTTCCTTAAAATATATTTATTTTCCTTATCAGGATTTAATGGGGCTGCCGATTCGAGATTTCGATTGCAACTGTTCAATGGCCCGGAAGATTAGTCCCCAAGAGAGGTCTCTTGATTCACTTTTCTATCAAACAGATGTTTTCCCCATAAAACTGCAAAGGTGTTGGCCCTTTTCTAATGCAACCTCAATGTAAACATTTCAACTATAAACTCCACAAAAAAAAAATACCAAAAAAGGTAAAAGATGGCAAGTGAAATTCTAGACTAGAACCACCTGGCGGGATCTATAACAAAATCTCGCAAAAAACCTGGCTTGAGTTTCCATCTGAAATTCATTCTTTCGGCGAATTTTCAACTACAATTAGTTGATACTTTTCTGACCTTAATATCCCATCACAAGGGTTACAACTTTAAATACATTTATAAATGTCAGAGTCTGGAGAGTGTGTGAGAAAAACATGAGTTTATGTTTTCTGTTTCATTATCAGCCGACCATAACGCCCTCGGGCCTGGGTCTCTGGGCCTCTTCGAATCGGACCCCAAACAATGCACCTGACATGGCCGGCGGCCAAAAGGGGCTGAATTTCACACTTGCTTCGTCGGAAAAGTAACTATTCCCTTTCCCTGGTCTGGGCACCTGGCCAAATGGCCGTCTAGGCGACTGGGCGCCTAAGCTATGGCTCTGACTCTGAGTCCGGCTCTAATGACCACAAAATAAATAAAACGGAAAACCAACGCCTGGTGGCCCATGCAGGGCTTAATTGCGTGGAGAATATACCTTATATACATAGACTATATAGAAACCCAATAATGCTATATAAAACCCTATAAGTTTTATATATACTTAGTGTATATAATATAATATATAACAAATAATACAATTTATCTACTTTTTTTATATTTTAAATGAGCCTTTCAATCAAGGCTTACATATTCAAAAGCCAGGGCTTAACTAAAAGGATGTACATATATAAAGCACAATAATACAATATAGGATATTTCAAGAATTATTAAATCAAGATAGGTATCTATATTTAATTATTATTAATTGATCACTAATTTAATATGTCAATCAATTGATACAAAAAAAATATCAAATCATATCAATTTTGTACTCTTTTAGGTTCATTAACTACACATTTTGAGAAGCGAGGAGGAGGGCGTGGTATTTTTTTACATTTGTTAGTTGCTTTTATTAATTAATTGTTATTTAGTGGTAAGTGCTATGTTTTTTTGATTGTAACCCCTTAAAATCAAGAAGAATCGTCTTATTTAAATTTATTTTTTAAATGATCTCTTGTATGTTACTTTCATAAAATGATAAAATAAATAATTATGTATATATCACCATTATATAGCTCATGTTTATTATGTACTTGAGAAACTATAAAGAGAGGGCGTTGTTTTTATTGGAAATTATTTTTAATTAGCCCTTCCTACACATATATATTTTTTATATTATAAAATTGTTAGCTAAACTTATGAGAAGCGTGGAGGATGGCTTTAATTAGAATGATTTGCTGTTGGTACTTTAAGGTTTGGATTTTCGGTATTTTTATTTAAGTTTAAAAAGTGCACCTTTTAAGAATGTAGGCAAAGGATAAGACTTTTATAAAAAAATGAATCCAAAATTACTATTTGAATGAAACAAATACTCAACTGTCCTAGCTTCTACCCATACTCCCCCTACAAGTTAATCTCTCTGATAAATTTCCATAAATCTGAAACCAAAATAAACCTTGACAAAGAACTGCTTTGATTAACCTTGAACTTTATATTTATTATTTTTCAAATGAAAAGCCCGGGGAATGCTGGCCAATAACTCTTTGCATTCGATGGAATTTTCCAGAGATTAGACCGACAACCGGCAAGAGGAGGAAAAAAACAGAAATCGAATTGGTCAATATATAGAGTAGCTCTCGACAATTTTCCCAGTGACATGCGCTAATTGACAGGAGAAAATTAAGCTTGGAAAATATGCAAAAATACAAGAGGATATTTACATTTTTTTTTTTGGAAGGGGAGTGAGTTCTCACCCCCAAAAGACTATACAGTGTGTACTCAGTATAGAGGGCAGTGCCGGAAGGCCTAGGAAAATTAGATTTTGTTGTAGTTTAAGTGGCAGAGAGAAGCTCCTATAATTGAATTCCATGTGCGGCAGCAGCAGCAGGCAGGCACAAAGAAGCATTTGCCTATGAAGTTGCGTTGCGTTGCGTTGCGGTGGCACTAGAAATGGCAAATTAGTTTAACTTTGACAACACCGCCACCACCACCACCTCAATCTTTGTCATTTTCTGAGATTGTTAAATGAAAGTTCAAAGCTAAAAATAGTTGTCAGCACACACACACACACACATACTAAGATGCGAGGAAGCGCAAGGATATTTAATTCAATTCGCTTTTAAAAGCCTTTCCCACACTCGCAACCCGGCACAGACTGTCAAGGTCAAAAGGTAATGAATAGATAGATGCCATCCCTCCACCTCCCTCTCTCTTTTCTGTATGCTCTCTCTCTTTCTAGTCTAACCCCTTTTGTTCCGCAAACGCCTCCATGCCACGGCATATCCTCTATCGCCACCGGATCATATTTCAAAAGTCGCAGAATAAAAGAATTTCATCCACACATCCAAGGTACACATCCGCACGATTTTTCCATTGCCTAGCTTTCGGTGCACAGTGGGATGGGGATGGCAATTAGCAGTTAAATATTGTGGGGTTTTATATTTTATAGAAAATGTGGTTTATTTTAAAAACATTTTAATTTTAGGAAGGTAATTCGCAAAGATATAAAATTTTTGATAAAATAATTTTTAGAACAAATTTGGAGTAATGTTTTTATTACTTTCCAATTTTTATAAAATATGGTATGTTAATATAGTATACTTTAATTAAAAAATTAATTTGTAAAGCATGAAAGGTAAAGATTTGTTGATGAAAATTTGGAGTATTACTTCAATTTCTTCCTAATTTTTATAAATTTAAAATTGTATATAATTGTATGTATGTATAAAAATTTAATATCCTTTGATATAATCTTCTTTGTTTAATATTTTACGAATATTAAAAAAACTCTATTGGTTCTTTCTAAAAACTTTATTTTCTAGTTTTTAGAATTTAAAAATTTAAACCGGATTTAATTAAAACTTTATCCGATTTTTCGTAATATTATAACAACTCTAAAATTTGAAGTGTTCTATTATACTTTTATTTAAATTCTAAAAATAGTTCCCAACACTTTTAGAATTACTACTTCA